GACAACAATTTCCGGGGGGGGGGGGGGCGGACACTGTCGAAAGTATATATTTTCTATATAAATTCCATTTTGTTCGGGGGGGGGGGCGGTGAAAGAGATGCCTAGAAGAAACTCTGCCTGGAAGAAACTTTGTTCTTGTATTTGTTCTCTCTGAAATTGATTAAACCATCATAAAGAAGTCGCATCCCACCTTGCCGAGCTTTGACTTACGTTGGTATTGTTTTCTGTACTATTGTCATCGTGGATTCTGGGGCTAATCGCTTAAAGTTTGTCAATATTAGTGAATGAGGCTGACCAGGCGAAATTTTGTTTTTCTCTGGGTCACGAGTAAACTTTTCTTCGTCAGATTCTTGTATCTTACCTTGCACCAGAGTGGATGTACTTGAGAAAGTTGGCATTAGAGTAACTCAGTCTTTTAGAGCGGCAATTAGATTGCGGGGGTGAACATGTACAACACTATTTTAGTTAACGAGTAATATACTTGACGTGTAACTAACTAGTACCCACTTATAAAGTTCATGAAGTCTAGATCGGTGTTAGAGCCAGAAAGTATTTTATTACCGGTTTACTAACAAACATTAGGGTACTCTTGTAAATTCCCTAAATCTGACATCCTCACCTACTTCTGTAATAAAGGTGATCCACCTCCTCCAAGCAAAAGTTTGAAATTAATCTGATTAATCCTGTCATAAATGAAGCTCTCGTTGTTCATGAAGCGCCGTAACTAGCATCCCTTTCTGATATTAGACACTTGCCCTAACCCCCCCCCCCCCCCCCATAAACCTCTCGTACATAAAAACCACACTGGTATATTAATCCTTTGCTTTTTATTAAGCACCTGTCAGTGTCATCAAGCCATACATATCTTGCAACATATTACAGCTCAATTAGTTGTACAAGTCCATGTAGTACTTTCAAGCCTATTTACTAGTGATTGAGACATTGTCGCCTGTGCTGGTACCCTACATTTTTAAAAGCTTGTCGGTGGGATATATATACACTTTGCTACAGAGGCGTAGCGAGGGCGTGGAGTGCGAACTAGCGACGTCACTGCTTTGCTATACTTTAATGTATGTGTTAACTATATATATGAAGATTGATAATGTGCACACTTTTTATTTTTTTTAACCTTCCAATACAGATGCATAAAAATATTCAATTTGCAATTCTCTTGAATTACTTCTACTAATACTAGTGTAAATCATAGTAAATGCTAGACATGTTTACTTCACTGTGAGATGAATGCCCTTCCCCCCTCCCACTACAAGAAAATGACAGGTACACAAACTGGCTACTTAAATTATACTGTAACATGACATTGAACTACACAAAAAAAAAACAAGAAGCGATAGTTTACTTGTTTAAAATTTTTATTCACATTAAAAGAATAATTTTGATGCTACAAGTAATAGATCATATAGATTACAAGTGGACAAGTAAGTAGATAGATAATAAATCAATATTATCAGATTTCAGTATGCTCAATAACTAGACAAAATGGAATCAATACATACAACCTCCACGATAAATAAAAATTTGATGGCAACAGACTATCTCTAACCCACATCTTAATCTAACAAGTTTTTAATATTATAAGACTGTGTGTAACTAGACCTTAGTTTCACACACAAACATAAATATATGCATATATATATATATATATATATATATATATATATATATAGATATATAGATACACATATTTATAAACAAATACTGCATAGCAGAATATCTCTACATGAAAGCCAACCTAGTGAAGAAAATTGAATTTGCACATTCAATCGCTAAGAAATTCAGCAATAGTATCCAACACCTCTACAAAGACTCCAACTGCCAGATTATCCACAAGTTAACCAGCCCTTTTTCAGTGAGTACAGAAATGTTATACTCTTTTCACGTATAAAGTACATCAGACCAAAAGGGTGGAATTCAGTGGACCCTCACTTAGCTGGAGGGCTAGATATTGAGGATGCTATACTCTCACATTGACAACATGTCCAATCCACGCTAAGCAAATATGATGAACCTTCTTAATATAGGCTTAATGATCAACTGGAAAAAACAGAAGAGATAAGAATCAACAACAAACAAGAGTTCCACTTAGGATACAAGAAATGACTATTTTGGAGCAGGATCACTTGACACATTTAGGATCTGCTGTAAGAAGATGGGGGAGCAGATGAGGACATCAAAAGACATATCAGCAAAGTATCCAACATCCTCCGCACAATATGGATGTCAAGAGCTGTCTACAGTTTTCCAAATATGACTGTTGAACAGCAATGTAAAATTTGTTCTCCTCTATGGTTCTGAGACTTTCAATAATGAATGGCTGTGTAGCAAACTGAACATCAGGTGGCCTGAAAAAATAACCAACTGTGATGTTCTAACATCCATCTTGAAGAGACGCCTTAACCCTCAGGCTGGTAAATCCTGGGAAACAAAAAATACACATTCTGTAAGAAAATAAAGACAACTGTTTAATCTTTACAGAGACGTCCTCTACCAGTTGCCGTTATGGTGACATATTAAAACTGGAATATCTTGAGTGTGGAAATTGTACTAAAATAAAGATTGTCTACAAAGGTCTACCCTTTATTTCAAACATTTGTTTGACAATGTGGCTTTGGCAAACATGTTGACTGATATAGGACACATTTTGAATTAACAGTAAGATATCTGAGTTTTTTACATTTAGAATCAATAGTGCCCACATATTAGTTCATGTATGAAAATATCTTTTTTAGTTTAGTTCAACTCATATATAGCCCTACTAAATATTAAAATAAAATAGCATCAAAAATTTTTTTTAGTTACCAGTTATACTATGATAGCACTTTCCAGCAAGATTTCACTGTTTTATTAATCCAGGTTCGCTGCAGACAAACAAAATGTTTTGGTTAACAAATTAAAAATATCTGTATCACATCACTTAAGTTTATTTAGCCTGCAGGTCCATGGGGCAAGTGCAGTAGAGATAAGCTGTTTCTGTGACTTCAGCATATGAAGGGATAGTGTGGTCAGCACCATGCCCAGTCTCCTTTACTTTTCCTAACGTGAGTTAGGTACCTATCAGAGCTGGGTGGACTCAGGGAAGTTCTGCTGACTTGAATCCAGATTCAAACTTGAGACTTTGGGTTATACAGTCTTGCTCCATAGCTAAGCCACACAATCACCTTACATAATTGGCTTTAAATCAAATGTTTGCACCCCACTTCTCATCGGGAAGTACATTGCAGTACAGTTGGTGCTTGTTTAGTGTAACCTTAAATTCACAATGATAAATAAACAAATGATTTATAAAATATAACTATATACAAATAATACAGTGTATGTGAGTAGCAGAACATTGGATAACTAACCTGATAGTCTCAAGTTCTAATAATGGGCTCTAGTAACTGGTTGGGAAAATAAAGGTGGCTGAGCATTGTATTGAACTTGACTACACTATCCCTTCCTATGCCAAAGTCAGAGAAACTCATGATCTCTCCATCTGTCCCATGGACCTGAAAGGAAGCTTACATGTACAAATAAAAAAAAATTAACAAAATACAATCACAACAGTTCAGTTCTACATAATGGTTTTTAATTTATCATTCAGCTTTATTATTCAGTGTTACATTTTTTACTGATGCAATTAGTTTACCAACAAAAGTCTGTACAATAAATTTCACCTTTAATTAAATCAGATTGGAAATTCTTTCATATTTACAATCATACCTGGTTTGTTTCAATCTATCACAGCTCTTGGTTTTATTTTTTACTGTAATCATAAACCCATAAGCACAAAACACCTGCAAAACAATGACAAGATCAGTTTACTTTATTATACTACAGTATGGTACTTAAAAGTGATACTAATAATATTAGTAATATCTTAATTTAGTTTACACTCTTAAATGGAATACGTAAAATTTAGAATGTAGCATAGTCCTCCACCCCACAGAAGTCACATAAAGGGATCTGAACAATTAACTCTTAAAGTAACATACATGGTGGTAGTACTCTAGCCACTTGAATACAGAGGGTTGTAAATCAGTTGATTGCAGTGTTCTAGAACATTGTTGGTATCTTTGTCCCTGTGTCTGTCTTATTCCTGTCTCCATGACCATGTTGAGAGAACCTGAAGATTAAAGTTTTGAAATTAGTAAAAATTTTTAAAAAGTGCTTAAGTCTAAGGCCCAATGGCATCGCAAGATCGGGTGTCACCCAAGTAACGAGGTTTATCTTTAGTCTGTTAATAATACAGTTGGAACTATGTAGCAATGTTTTCTCTATAGTTAGTACCTTTACGACATGGTATCACCCCCACCCTCTGATAATAATTGTCAATTTGTACTTAAAAGACTATTTAACTTTAAATTTTAATTAATCATTAATGGGACTGGCAAAACAACATATTTCTTCTGTATATTTTGCAATTTTTTGCCTTGGTGTCACCCCCTTAAATTTTAAATAGTGTCATCTGGTGCAGTCTGCACCCCCCACCCGTGCTATGCCAGCTAAGGCAAGGGTTATCAATAAAAATGTTATAAATAAAAAAATATTAATAAATTAATAATAAGCCTAATTACTAATTAGGTAATTATTAGTAATTAATTAAATTATTAATAATGTTAGGCCCTAATTTATTAATTAATAATAAAATACGCTCAACTGGAGGTGAACGTGAAACCGGGAATAAAATACGTTAAAATACAGTTTTACCCCTTCTAGATGTAGATCTAATTATTGTGTAATTTACTAATCAGTGCCAAGACCTATTTTATTTTCTACAAAAAGATCTTGATATTTCCCACCAAATCGATTAATTATATTTTCTGTTGGATCTAGTTTCGGTATCGTAAATTATGTAAGTAAAATAAACAACGATCTTAGCTGTTCGATTACTTTAAAATATTTCAGCGGGATTTTCGACAGTACGGCCAAGTTTAAAATATCTGTACTTTCGTTTCGACACTACGGGCTAATCCCTTTTTTTTTCTATTTCTTTTCCGAAAAACGAAATTGTCAGAATTAGGTTCAGCTATCCAGCTAACTTGCACATTGTGCTGCATTTTTTTCTGTCGCTTCGTTTATATAAAACTAGATCTAGAATACCTCACTCGTCAACCTCATTCCCTTATTTCGAGGTTTGTAGTCTCTTTGCTCACAGTGTAAAGAATAAATATTATAAATAAAGATAAAAAAATGTAAGACGTCAGTTCAGTTGTTTGTGGGCGTCTCCCTCTGCCTGTACTGTCTACACGCTATATTCTACAGTAGTGTACTGAGTGTAGATCTAAATCTAGATTCTAGATCTACCTATGTGGTTATCTTGTTATGGCAGGATGGAGTATGTAATTTAGTATGTATAGTAAAGTAGATCTATATAATATAGATACAACTTTTATAGGGCCTATACTACTACACTCTATACTTAAAGTTTAAAAAATACTTTAAAATAGGCCTATATTTAACTATATATTATATTATTTATATACTATAGTAGGCTATATACTAATACTATATACTACTACTAGTATAGTAATTAACTACTAACTATACTTGATTTGAAGTTTAAATGAATCTACTGGCTAGCCTGTCATTCAGTTCAGTTCTTGCCTGTTGGTTCTTGGGGTCTGTTGTAGTACACTTGTCAATCACTAACCACACACCTTCATAAAAAGCTATTATGTGCAAAAAAGTAAAAAAAATAGATTACGCTCATGTTATGATGCAAACTCTATGCTAGCAAATGAAAACCTCTCGTCTTTCCCTAAATCACACCAAGTAAATAATCTAGATATAAAGTTCTGAGCAGTTTTAAAATTTAAAATTCAATTAAATAAACTACCGTGATTCCCTAAACAATGGTGTAATTTGTATAATTGATGTTGACATGTGATAATTAATTTTGTTGGAGGAAATCCCCTTTAATATTACAGTTCAGATTGAAGAAGAAGAAGAAATATCATAATTTAGAGAGTAATTTATGGATAATTTGTTTATACCCTAATACTAATATCTTTTATTTTTAAAGATATTAATGCATTAAGGAGTATTGTCAATATTGTAATATATAAAAGTATAAAAGCATTTTAAATACCTGTTTCTAGGAATAGGCTATCCTTACAGAGGATATGCCTGCATTGGGGACAGCCGACTTTGGCGTCAGAACATTTTATGCCGCCACTCATCCTAATGACAAATGTGGACCAAATGGACTACCTCTAACACCAAATTCTATAAAAATTCTAGGACGTTTTCAGTACCTTACTACATTAGCACATCCACAATTGTGTCAATATTTAGATATCAGCAAAACTAAACATGGTAAGTTGATTGGTATTCATGCTAATATTTATGAATAATCTCTTATTTTGCTACTTTAAGTTGTTAGGAATCACAAATAAAGACAATTTCTCCAATGACATAGCGTGTGACTGGATTAGAGGGTCAATAAGCCTCAAGATGACCACTTGATAATTGTTAAAAAATATTGAAAGTGTCACAAGGTCATCAAAACTTGCAAAGTCTTTACTACAAATGCTAGATTCTAGTACTAGGTAAAAGAAAAAGAGACTTGGAAAAAGAAATAATGGGAAAATAACATCAAAGTATGGATTGGTATTTCAATAAGCTAGATAGACACTGAGGAGAGAAAAAGAGGCACCTAGTCAACATGTCTCTTGTATTGTCCAATGGTCAACTGGACAATGAGAATGAGACAGATATATTTTACTACTGTAAACACCATCATTGTTTACTTTAATAATATAACCTATTCAAACTAATGCATATGCATTAAAGTTTGTGGATAACTTCTTGAAGCTGTTAGAATCTAGACAAACTTGGTGAAAGCTACAGCAAAGGGGAGAAGAATCAAGTTTTTTTTGTTATCCATAAACCAAAGGGAACTCACTGCCCAGTAGTAGAAAGAATAACACAAATCATTGGATAGGAATTCCACAAGACAAATTATAATTAAAGATTTTCTTTACATTTTGTATTAAGTAAATAAATGTGATTGCAGTAATTTTAACATTGAGTTTGTATAATTTATCATATTTCAGAATGCCTTATTGTAATCTCAGAACATCATCGTATTACTTTACGAGAAAAACTTAAATGTGATGGTAATCTTGGGTATGTAATAACAGAATATAAACCCTTCTTTCAATTAAAAAAATATTGATAACCTTGTGTCATAAACTTGTTTAGTAATAGTTTTTTTACTACTTCTGACTCGTCTAGTAAAAGTTCTCAATAAATGTTACATTTTCAGAGAAAGTCAGATAGTGCGACTAGCTTTCCAAATGTTAGATGGATTAACGTACTTACACAGAAACAATATTGTACATAGGAACCTGAGCATTGACAACATTCTCATTGATAAACAGGTTGTTTTTTTAATGAATATAATTCTTACATTATTTTGTTATTTTATTTCTTTTGATTGTTTTAATTTAGTAAAACATAAACCTACTTTTAAAAACAAATGTTTTTACTATATCTACTTTTATAAAAAAAATCCTTAGGGTAACATCAAACTCTCTGAATATGGTCTCTACTATATGACAGATTACGGAGCAGATGTCTCTTTTCCAATAGGGTAATCTTTTTATCTTAAATGCACAAATATTTATTTATTTATCTATTAAATCAGAATTTATCTACATTTACACAACTGTACAGGCTAATCAAGAATCAGTCTTCATTAGGATTATATATTAATCCTAGAAGCTAAAACTTTAAATTTCTTATGGAAACTCCCTGTTCAGTCAGCCTATTTTATGTATTAAAATTAAGTAGACATTTTGATGAGTAACTACCATATTGAAACAAAATACAGAAATGTTTTTGTTGCTAGAGATATTATATAGAAAATTTCTTGTTTTGCAGTAGGCCTACAATTCTAAAATTATTCTGAATAAGTATATAAAGATGTATGATTTTTCAGTTTACCTCGGTACTTGGCCCCAGAAGTGTTTTGTTCTGGCCCAGTTAAGGTTGATGATGAAACTGGGCACTGTGTTCAGCCAATATCTGGGCCAAAAACTGATGTTTGGACTTTTGGTATCATTCTACTAGAACTTATTTTGGTAAGTAAATATCAAGCATGCTTGTTTGTTCTTTGATCGTTATTTATTTCATTAAATGGTAAGTTTAAAAAAAAACAACTGTTAAATGATTTACTACTCACATTAGGGAAAGGAACTGTGGTCTGGATTAGGTCTTCAAGAAACCCTGCTGAAAATGGTTGAATTCATAAAGACAGGTGGGAGTACACAAATATTTGTATTCATATAAAGCTGTTTTGTTTAATGAGACTACACATAAATCTGGTCTAAAATACAAAATTAGCATTATTTTATCATTTATTGTACTTTTCTGTGTATTATATATATATATATATATATATATATATATATATATATATATATATATATATATATATATATATATATATATATATATATATATATATATATATATATATATATATATATAATCAAAACTAATGGCCTCTTTTTCAGAAATGTCACCATTGGATTTACTTTGTCAAGATCAAGTTATTGCTGACAGATTAAAGGTAATAGTAAAAACATTTTACTAAACAAGAAGTGCATGAAAACCTTAAACATTTTGAAATCCTCATTATATGCAACAAAATGTCATGGAATGTATTTTATAAAAACAGTCAAATTTAACCTTTCTTATCTGTAATATTTTTTCACATTTTGACCAAAAGTTAAATAGCTTTTGATCCTTGTATAGTGTACAATCTGGTTCATTTATTATCAAATGAGCACCAATGGTTTTCTAGATACATTTTGGGATGATATTTTTGCTCTAATATTTTTAATACCTTAAACATCTCTCCTATTTCCTTTGCATATTTTTTCTTACAAATACATATATTTTTGCTTACACATCAATAATTATATTAAAGAAAGTTGTAAATAATTGAATATAAGTTAATTTTCTTACACAAAAGATAATTAAAAATAAATGCATGTAACTTTTTGTTGTAATTTTATTTTCACTTTCCATAGCTTTTACTTTCAAACCTCATGTTTTCAAATGTTTCAACCACAGGGCTATTCAAAAGAACTTCGAGATGTGCTTAGATTATGTCTGACTGTGTCCTCTACAAAGAGGTAGAATGTTAACTTGTTACAAAAAATGTATTCCAAATGTTTATTAAATGGTTTATATAACTGTTTTAATGCAAATTATAATCATTTATATTGGGTGTACATTGTTAATACTGTTCTATCTTATGTCCAATGCATTGCTATCTAAACAAACATAACATTTTTAAATCACATCTCCATACACAGCTGTAAGATTTTAAAAAATATATATGTGACTTTTGCAGAGCAAAGTCAGATGAGCTTAAGCAACACCCTTTATTCACTGTCAACATAAAAAATGCAGTAAGATGTTTAAATTAAATCTAAATTTGTAGCTTTTAGTTTTATATAACATACTTTAAAAAGGTATTTTACAGGGCATTTATTTTAAAAATTATTGAGAACTAATGAAAGATATTAACATTAAAATATTTTTAGTTCCTCTGATTCCAAGTTAATGAGTTCAGGTTTCAAAGTGCTTTAATTAAAATTACAGTTCTTTAATTTTAGGTGACCCACAAAAAAGAATATAATATGTTTACAACAGAATTGCGCTGTGTTGACCTTGAACTTCCATCCTATGATGAGACAATAGCAAATGGTAAGTCTGCAGATTAAAGTAAAGTTTCCCTTTCAAACCTGACGGTCTATGGGGCAAGTGAAGTAGAGTTCACTTGTTTCTGTGACCTCGGCATATGAAGAGAGATAGTGTGGTCAGCACTATGCCCAGCCGCCTTTACTTTCCCTAACGTGAGTTAGGTACCCATCAGAGTTGGGTGGACTCAGGGACGGTCTACTGGCTTGAACCCGGATTCGAACTCGAGACTTACGGGTTAGCAGCCCAGCTCTCTACCGCTAGACCACTCCGTCTGCAGATTATCATCACTAAAATTATAGTTTTCATCATTTAATTTATTAATTGTGCAGAGTTAAAATAAAAGGACTGATTATTATCACCTGTAGTGTAATGTTTAAAGATATATCAATACGTTCTTCCTAGTTTAAAATCTATGCTTCATGCTATCTGTTTACCAGAGAAACAGTTCACATTTACATTCATCCTCACACTCACTGGCTGAAGAATTACTGGTATTCGATACTTAAATTTTATTAATGACCTTGCTTTTTTTTGTTAATCTTTGTTAATTTCAGTATCCATTTATTTTGCATAGAGTTTAGTGATGACCACCTTTCCCAGAGATCAATGCAAGAGGTTTACTATCTGTGGCGGCTGGCTGGTGGGGACCTTGATACTGTGTTGAGAAAAGCAGGAATGTCAAAGACAAGGCCTCCTGTCCATTTACTTCCATGGTAGTAAACTGTTTTTCTTTCAGAGAATCTGAAGGTTTAACTAAGATAAAAATTCACAGCAAAAATGTTTCAATTAAATACTGACAGTAATTTACAGATAAAGTAGTAGTAATTATGTGAATATATATATTTATATGTATATATATAATGTATTTATATTTGTGTTCATAATTATACCTAATAGTGGGTAAACCCATATGTGTGTGTAGATATATCTATATATTTATGTGTATACTTAAACATGCATGCATGCATACATTTGTTTTTAAACTTACAGCTATGGTATTATAGACGGAGATGTGTTTGGACAAGACCGAGACTATGCTGAACTTTTGAACAATACTGTAATTACTTTGTCTCAGGAACAGCTAAGATTTGTAAGTTCTTCTTTTGTTTTACTATTAACTGAATTAATATGATGCAATCCAACCTAAAAAAATCTCCTTTAAAACATGTTTCTCTCTCACAGCGCCTAAGAGAGATTCCATCAACAGCTTATTATCCTCTTTTGGAAGATGAGTAAGTATTAATGTACATAGGTTATCAAATCTTGCGTGATTTTGTTAGTTGTTAAGCACATTTTAATAATTAATAAAAACTAAAGATAAGGAATCCAGATGAAACAATAGTACCAGCTGTAATCACATAGACCTAAGACAGTTATGAGAATTTCTATAGTGATCAAGCAACATAATTAGCAGGTCTACCTTCCTTGTTGGTTATAAGTAAAAAAAAATGTCTAAAAAATATGTATTCTATAATAATTTAAGCGCTCCTTACTGGGGTCCAAAATATAAGACCTGCTCAGTTTAGAGGGTGGTTCATGGCAGGAACAAGCTGGTTAAATCTAAATCTTATGTTGTATCTGTGGAACAATCTTGAATGTGGTCTGTCATATAGATATATCAGTTTAACTGAATAAAGTCAAATGTAGTCCAAACAATAGCTTGTTCTGTTGTCAGAAGCTGCATCTTGTGTCATCAGTGCATGTATATATATATACAATAATGTAGCTCGGAATGAGTTTTTTCATTATTACTCTTTTACCCTTTTTGTTTCCTCCCCCCATGCTATACCACTGGTAATACCCCTCCCCTCTGAATAGACCAAATGTAGCCACTTCTTTGTGTTCTTGTTAAACAATAAATAATTCCTAGTATTTGCTTTAATAAGTAGTATATTTCTTCTACCAACTATTCTTGAAATCGCAAGGAATGTTGTTTGATAAAGTTCAGGTTAAATTCTCCTTTATTCACAGACAAGAAATTGCTTATAATTTTAATTTTGAAGCCCCATAATTCCATGACCAGCCCAGTATAGAATTCACACAGGCTTGTTCATTTACTTTCAGGCTGAAGTTACCTGAGCACCAGTTACCAACATCACCAAGCAATGGTGACTTGACCAGCTCTGCAGCCTTGCCACTTGTTATCAGGGAAAAAGATATTGAGTACCAGGTAACTTTGACACTGACTTTATTTCATATTTTGTCAGTACGTCTCATTATATATTTTATTTAATAATTATACTTACTTGTTTTAAGTACTTTTTATTAATTCAGTTGACCAAATCAGTTCCACAGAATCATTTTGTATGCAAGGTTACTGAGTGCTTATCCATTTAAAAGGCCTCATATTTGGAGAGAGGCAAGAGTTGACATTCCACCACTAGTCAGAGCTAATGTTTGGGCAGCTTTGCTTGAAGTTGAGGTGTGGTAAATTAAAATGTATACATTTTTAGAGAACAATTTTTTAGAATCTAAAATAATATAGATCTATCTCAAATTAAAATTAATCATGGAGCAATAGGCCTACATTTAACAAGATTCTAAATTATTATCAAGCTTTCATTTTTTCTAATTTACTCTCACATTCCTTAGGGTGATATAGAAGGATTTTACAGATCTATTGACAAAGAAACTGCCACTGCAACTGATAGACAGGTATTAAATTACCTTTTTACTGGAGCACAGATTAGAGAACAAATAGCTTAGAAACAAATATGGTTATTGTAGTTGGATATATTAGCCACAGAAGTTACGTATTTACTGGGTCATAATAAATGAGTCAGTTTTAAAATGCCATGTAAATTAACCCTTTTTATCTGCTTCATGTAAAAATGTAGCAAATATATAATGGTCTCAAAAATGATATTTAATTTCATTGCAATACAAGTATAAGCTGAATGATGTTTGTTTCAGATAGAGGTAGATATTCCCAGGTGCCATCAGTATCATGAACTGCTTTCATCCCCAACTGCACATGGTAAATTCAAACGTGTGCTCAAGGCGTGGGTGCTCAGTAATCCCCAATATGTCTATTGGCAAGGTCTAGATTCACTCTGTGCTCCTTTTTTGGCACTGTCATTCAACAATGAGGCATTGGCTTTTGCCTGTTTGTCTGCATTTATACCAAAATATTTGAACAAGTTTTTTATGAGGGATAATTCTGCTGTGATCCAGGGTAATTTGTTAATAAAACAATGCTATTGAAAATTTAGATTGATAAAGATAATAATTGAATTTTTAAGTTGAAACTGTATTACTTAAAGTCTATATGTGGAAAAGGTTAAGCAGAAATTTAAGAAATGATAAAAAAGTTTATATCATTATTAATAATAGATTTAAGCATTATTTTAAAATGGATATTGACTTTTTTTTTTCATTAGAATATCTGGCTGTGTTTTCCCACCTCATAGCGTTTCATGATCCAGAGTTAAGCAATCATCTAGATGGGATTGGTTTTATACCAGATGTAATTTGCAAATTTCTAAAAATTCATCTATAACTATAAAATGTACTTTGTGTCATTTTTAATTTTTATAGAAAAAATATTTGAGTAAAAGAAACAACAAATAACTTGTGTTTCCTCTAAAAATTTCAGCTGTATGCTATTCCTTGGTTCCTGACCATGTATGCTCGTGAGTAAAGCTTTTTGTGGACTCTATGTCTAGAGTAAAAAAAACATTATATTGAAATATTTTAAAAGCATAAAATGTGTTTTTTATTTTTAATTGCAGATGTTTTCCCCCTTCATAAAATTGTACATTTATGGGACACTCTACTGTTGGGGAATTCATCGTTTCCTCTCTGTATTGGCGTATCTATTCTTCAGCAACTTCGAGATAGATTGTTGTCTTTTGGGTTCAACGAGTGCATTTTGCTCTTCTCTGATATGCCTGGTAATTTTTTAATGTATAGTGATATTGTTTATGTAGAGATATGTTACATTCAACAGTTATCCTATATTATAAAGTTGATACACAATTTCAATGAAACTTTTAAAGTTTTATTACGCTGACACATACCTGATACGTTTTATAATAAATATATTATTTTTAAAGTTTTTTCTTTACCTAATTTTTAAAATTTTTAATCCAGAGATTGATATAGAGCGATGTGTCCAGGATTCAATAAAAATATTTTGTTCCACCCCTAAAAGTGCTACATTTAGACAGCATGCTCGCCCTCTGAAGTCTAAAAGTTCAAATGATCGTCCAAATTTATCATACTATAGTCGGGATTACCATGAACAGCCACAAACAGATCTGGTAAGGATTGTTTTAATTTTTGAAAAATAAAATTAATTATAATTTAAGGAAATTTTTAAAGTCTAAATCTAACTAAATAATATTGGCGAATATGATTGGTTTGTTTTTTCAATTCATTATTTGTAATAGTCTATGGAAGCCATGTCTATAGAGGAACTAAAAGGAGAGAAATGTCCTAGGATATCTGCAGAAGACCTAATAGAGTTGGGAGAGCTGCTGGGATCAGCATCCTCCCGAAGTCCAACCAAAAGACGATTTAATAGCAAACCTATGATTGTTATTTTAGATGTCCGTCACTATGATGAGTATCCTTTCAAATAAGTTTTTTTTAAAAATCAATTCAATTTATTCTCATACATTTAAGCTTAAAAATACTACATTTTAGGCATTTATATCTACATCAGCTGTGACCAAAATAAGCAGCCAATCAGATTATATTTCAAACCAAAAGTATTTTCCATTAATAAAAATTCAGCTACAAAAGAGGAACTTTACAAGGGAGTATCAACATCCCATTCCAAACAGCCTTCTCACCAGAAGGTGAACTGAACCCTTGCCCAGCTGTGCAGCAGTTGAACTCACGAAGGAACCAAGTTGTTGTGGTTGTAGGAAGCAGAGGTCGCAACGCTTCTAATGTTAGTATTTTTGTATTCCTATTTATTCAGTTACTTAGTAGATTTTTAAACTTTGTAAAATTTAAGTTTCTAATTAAAGTAAATTTATATACACATTATACTTTTTTGACCAAGTATTTTTGTAAGATTTACTCAAAAAATAATTATTTGCAGTTTGCAAATGAGCTAGTTCGACTTGGCTATGCCAGAGTATGTGTTCTACATAAAGGAATTGATGTTTTTAGAACTACTGGTCTCATAACCATACCTCCTGCAGACATATGAATGCTTACTGCTATGTGATGGGCTACTAAGATATTTCTTATGTTACAGTTAATGCTCAGCTTATGTTGTTGTATTAGTTAGAAAAGCTATGTTTGCCAAATGTTAATAAGATTATTTGTTCCCATTATTGTAAATGAATGACACATTTCGGCTTTGTGATAAAAGTAGTTTATTATTTTTGTAGTCTCTATTTAGTATTACATTAAGATAATTTTAGTAATGTAATTTTTACTAATTCTAGTTTGTTCACTCTCTAGCTGGTTAAGAATTGAGTAATTGTGGGAGTGCATTCACACATTTCACAGAAGACAATGCAATGTTTTATATTTATATAATTAAAAAAAAAGAAAATCCAATTTTGATGTTTCATAATTTTAGCAGAAAACTGAAGTCAACAATTTTTAAAATTAAAATCAAAGAATGCAAAGCACAGAAAGTTTTTAATTCATTATTTTGAAATAAAATCTATTCCTGTTATATAGCTGTTTTTCTTTATCTGCTAGTTTAAAACTTATTTTAAGAATTTGAATGCATACAATTTTTTCCAGTTATGTATACTTTTTTATGTACAAAGATGTCCATACCTGGTTTAAATAAAGCTTTGGATTGATTGAATGAGAAAAATGTTCACAGTTTGTGATTTTTATTTCATCTCACGCAATGCATTTGTAAAGATATTTTACTGATACACAATTACTAGCAACACAAACATCATATCAACCAACTTAGAACTCAGCTAAGGATATAGTGAGGCATTTAAAGTTTTAAAATTAAACGTTTATTTAGTCCTTGAAAAGTGAAACTAAGTGAACATTCTTGTGAAAATATTTTAAAATATACAGAATTTTTTTCTTGAATAAAAAAACTGTTCTCAACACAAATGCAATGTTTTAATAGATGTAAACTTACTCAGCCTCACAGAGGCTTATTGTTTTTACCAGCAATGAGGGGAAAAAACCCAAAAAATATTTTAAAATATAAAATGTATACACATTTACACAGAAAAAAAAATCCCATGAGAGCTTATTGTCACGTCATGTCATCAACTATCTGACACATCATTTTGTCCAGGCTGTCACATGCATCAGATTCCATGAATTCCATTTTTACATCAGCAGACTGACCCAGCATCTCTGATTCAGACAAAAGGCTGGAGTCCAGTGTGACATCATTAGGGATCGCTTTAAAAGCTGTCTGGATCAGATCCAGCACCTGAAAGCAGAAATTGCAGTTGTGATTTAAAAATAAAACGGGCAAAACAGTTATAAATAAATGTAAATTGATCTGTAACTTCCTGTTTGAAGATTTGAAATATAAGGGGCAATAATAAAAAATAAATTTTTAAAGTCTGTAGAGAAGCATGAAAAGATAAGTCATAAAACCTGAAGGAAATCATGGGCTAAAAAATTGCCTCCTGTGAATTTCCCACAATGGCAATTACCCCCCCCCCCCCCCTTTGTTTAAAAAAATTATTTTGAGAAACCCTATTATTAAATTAAATTTAAATATTGTGTACTATCCCTCATAAATAGTCCACCTGATATCTATTTTTTAAGTCACCAAACCGTCTCACATGGAGTGTGATTGTCAGAGATTTTACCTCATTAGCAACCTATGAATAATTTAACTAACAATGTGCGTTTGAATCTATTGATTAAGTTTTTTCAATTCACTCAACATGTTCTAAATCTTAGGCTACCTTGTCAAAATGTTCTTGAAATTTCTGGGCTATCTCTGTTCTTTTGGTGCGCTGCAATTCCAGCATGACGCGTAGCGTTTCTCTAGCTTGATGAGGTCTAATTGCAAAAAGAAATATTTAATTATAACTCAGTGTTTTGTTTTAAAATAAATTATTTGTTTAAAAAAAATTAATACATTATAACAGCATAAATCACGCTTCAAAATTTAACAACTTTATGCAAGGATTTTCAAGATGTGACCTAAATTCCTGATATTTTTTTAACCCTACCATATTTTTTAATCTAGTTTAATTAGTATTAAATTAAAGCTACCTGAACTCATTAATTAGATGATGCATGTTGATGAACAGCAAGTTAATATCATCCAACTTTTCTGCACGCTTGGGTGACTCTGGTGCTCGTATCAAAACATCCAAAAGATCTAAAAAGTTAACCTGAAAGACATATATAGTAGTTAGCTGAATTTCTATTAAATTCAAGATTTATAATTATTTAAACTTTTGTTAATTAGGCCTACTATTTTTATCTGACTCACCAATATAGAATGATTTAACTTTTTCAACTCCCTTTTGTGATCATAATTGTGTGGATATAATCTGCGACAGCCTGATGCTTCAAGAGGGCGTATAATGGCTTCATCAGCAGTAAAATGAGCACCAAACATTGTATATGAATCCTGATAATAAAACAAAAACAGTTTAAAACACTCAGCTTCTTATGTATTTTTGGCTTGTTTGGGCCAGGTGTAACAATTATAAATAAATATAATCCACAACGAGAATCTATATCATGGGTGTATAATTATCATCAAACACAAGAACACATTACAAGAAGAGAAACTGACGAGTAGGTACAGGATGTTGACACCGCCCCCACATTGCTTCACATGCTGCTTTGTTCACACACGCTAGCACAACACTTTCAAGGGGAGGCTATTCTCACGCACTCTCTCCATGCCTAAAATTTTTGTTATAGTAAGACAATCCACGTCACAACAGCAGAGTTTCTTCCAGGCATCTCTTCGGAGGTGGCTTTGCCCCCCCCCTCCCCCCGAACGAAATGAAGTTTATGTAATTTATGTAGAAAATATATACTTTTAACAGTGTCTGCCCTCCCCCGAAGAAAGTTTACCATCCCCCCCCCCCGAAAATTTCAAGTGCCCACCCCCCCCCCCATGGAGAAAAAAGTCTGAAAGAAACACTGCACAACAGGCATCCAAATTTACAATACATTACATACTATGGATGATATTTCGAGTGGTCCCTTTTAATCCCTGTCAAAACTACTAAGAAAAAAATGGCCTTTTCTGCCCCTTTTAGCTCCAAAAATGTGTCGTGCGACGTCAGCTGCCAACCAATCAAACTTGCACTTTCTCCGCATTTTGGTTGGCAGCTGACACTATGAAATTCTCTAGGGTCGGCTTGAAATGTATACCCATACTACATAGCAGTACATACTACATGAACATAGGCCTAATAATTATAATAATAATATTAATATAACAATACAATAACATAACATACTTGAAACTTCCTACCATTAGCAGCATTACTATTAAAGGACAGGTGTAATAATAGTTATTAACTTAGAAACTAAAGTTGAGTTTAGTTAGTACTAGATCTTCTAGTACGCAAGTAGATCTAGCTAGATCTACTAACTTAGTTGACTTTTTAAGTAGACGATACAACATTCAACAAGCATTCAACACTCCACTCTCTGGTACTTGAATAAGCAGAATTAAGTCTAGATTTAGATCTAGATCTAGTGCTAGTGTCTAGATTTAGAATAAGCTGTTTTACCTAACGGTTTAAAAATTCATATAAAAAAAACTACTGGGCCTAGAATGATAATTTTTGTAGTTTATTAAATGGCAGACTCTCTTCTTGATTCTGTGTAAATTTTATCATTCTGTGTTAAATAGAAACATTTTTACCAAAATGCCTACTAATTTAGAAGTGAAGCTACTTCTATTCTAAAAAATAAAATTTATTAAAACAGATCTAAAATCTAGATTCTAAATAAAAGCTTATTAAAAGCATAGAAATATTATGACAAATTTTACCTGAATAGGTGGGGGTGGAGGAGGAGCTTTTCCGCGTTTAATATTTTCATCTGAGTAATTCATAACATACTGCATTGGGGGCATAGGAAATGCGCTGACTCCTTGTCCCTCCGACATTTTTTGTATTTTGTTAATAAAATCATGAATAAGAGCTCATTGGCGTCGAAAATAAAAATATAGAAATGAGGTCAGGCTCAGGATGTGGTCTGTGGTGCAGCGCTGTCTCTGTCTGTGTTAGTATTGTAGACTACCATGTAGGCTAGTTTGTAGTGTTGGGTTGTTACGACTTGCCCTAGCAAACAATTAATGTAGACATAGGGATCTAGATCTAGAATCTAGATATATTTATATTTATTTATTTATTTAAAAAGTTAGGTCCCTCGGTAACACCGCGTTGACAATTGACATGACGTATATCCAGTGTTTCTTTCAGACTTTTTTCTCCGGGGAGGGCACTTTAAATTTTCGGGGGGGGGGGGATATTTTCTATGTAAATTATATATCGTTCGGGGAAGGGGCGGTATACATGTTTCGGGGAGGGGTTAGCTAAGCCCCCGCCCCCTCTCCGAATAGGTACCTGGAAGAAACAGATAGCGATAAAGGATAAAGATGCCGTGGGGGGGGGGGGTGTAAATCGTAAAAAAAGGCATGACGGCGTTTATTACGTAAGATGACCACCAACCAATATTTGAGATATAGAACAGTGCACACATGTGCCTATGGATCATTGTTAAGCGATATCTGAATTGGGGGGGGGGGGGCTGTCTTTGTTGAAAATGTGAGATAAGGGGGAGGGGATATAGTGCGAAGTAAAATTGAAGCATTTAAAGAAATCATTAGATTTTTTTTTCTTCAGCGATATATGGAGAACGTAAAGATACGGACTTTTGTTGAAAAGTATATGGTGGATGTTTTAAATGTATTAACTAAATTTTATTTAAAGAAAGAAAATACAAATAAAGCAACATTCAAATGTAGAAGCTATTTTTTTAAAAATCATGCAAGCGGAAATGTGATTATGGTTGTGACAAGAACATAATAAACAAATACGTCACATGCCACATGTTTAAACTACGGAAAGAACACAACACTAATGGCATCATCATCCAATTTTAGAATATGATATAGATCTAGATTCTATCAATCTACTTATCATGATGTACGCTATCAAATGCATATAAAATAAATAATTTTCTCGGTCAAACTAATATTATAAATATAAATTGATTACTTTATAAAACAATATTTTGGCCATTTGATTATCTCTTTACTTTGTCACTAATATTAATATCATTCAACGTGTAGTAGAGCACATTGCGTTTTGAGCAATAACTATTTTACAAAATATTTTTCTCAAAATATGTAGATCTATAACATAAAATTAAAAATATATAGATCTAGGCCAGGGGTCTCCAAACTTTTCAGTCCGAGGGCCGCATTAACTATCAAATTTCACTTCGAGGGCCGTTTCTTCCAGGCATGTCTTTGTTTTTTCTGGGCAAAGTTCCTCAGCCATCACCAAAAAACGTTTTTTTCCGTGGACAAAAAGATCTCCGCGGGCCGGATGAGAGGGCATCGCGGGCCGCATCCGGCCCGCGGGCCGTAGTTTGGAGACCCCTGATCTAGGCCAATTCACGTGTAACGGGTACCGACGGCTAGTTATTAATGAAAGATTTCTTCTTGAAGGGAAACTACTCTATTAATGTCCTTAGTTACAATAACATAGCTTAGTAGTATCCCCTTTCGAATAAACAAAATACTTGTTTCTCGGCAAAATGTTTAACCTTTTCAGCTGGTGTCTGGTGTCGCATCCACCTCCTCGAGATGGCGTCATACTGAGCGGAATTAATATCGATGTACATTACAGAAACATTACAACCTCTGCTAAAGCAGATTTGGGAAGATGAGATAATCCCGTCTGACTGGAAACTGGGCTACCTTGTAAAACTGCAAATGAAAGGAGACCCCCTGAAGAAGTTCTACCGCCCCTCCCCCCCGAACGTGATGGAATTTATATAGTAAACAGACACTTTTATTAGTGTCCGCCCCCCCCCTCCCCCGAAAAAATGTAGACCCCCCCCACCCCCGGGATAAAAAAGTCTGGTAGAAACACTGCAACAGCAGAAGTCACACTGATGTACAGTAAATATAATTTAATAGGGACTATTCAATTTTATGTTTTTGTTTTTTATGTGAAAATCATGTTTGAATTGTTCTGTTCTTTGAACACAGTGATGTTTATGCACGTTTCATTTTGTGCACCAGTAAAATATATAAGATATACCTATGTTTTGAATTTGAAAAAAACATATTAGAAGGGTTCGGCGAAAGCTCAAATGTAACTGGTACTTCCAAAAAGGTTAAGAACCACGTTTGATCTAAAATAAGCGCTAACAAGAACCTGCAGATGGAGGGGGGGGGGGGGGGCAATGATTAAAGTAGGCAGGCTACGTTTTTATTATTTATATTATTTTTTGTCCGAGGGGAGGGGTTGACTCTCTATTAAACCGAGGGAGGGGGAGGTGGTCCGCCCTTGGAGGTATTCATGAAAGAATAACTGGGAACAGCCGTTTGTTAACCATATGAAGTGGTACTTTCTAGAAGTTTAACAATAGCTATTAGACTATAGTCTATATAGAATCTAAATAGACGGAAAAAATAGGCATACCAAAATTGGTACACTATAAGGCTATAAGCAGGGGCGTAGCGAGGGGGATGCGGGGGGTGCGGACCGCACCGGGTGACACCATTTAGGGGGGTGACACCATTTAGGGGGGTGACACCAAGGCAAAAAATAGCAAAATATATACAGAAAAACTTGAGGGGGTGGGTGCAAATCGAAAGTTTGAGGGGGGTGCAAATCGAAAACTTGAGGGGGGGGGGGGGGTGCAAATCGAAAGTTTGAGGGGGGGGGGATGCAAATCGAAAACTTGAAAGTTTGTCCCCGGGAAGGGTCGCTACGCCTCTGGGGGGTGACACCATTAAATGCCGCACCGGGTGACACCCGACCTCGCTACGCCACTGGCTATAAGAGAGAGTTTTGAGATACCACGCTTGTCTTTTTTTTCATGATGGAGACCTACTGTAATTAACTATATAGTATATAGGCCTACATCTAGATCTAGATATAAAATCTATACGAGATAGTCTAGATCTAGGATCAGTGGCATCAAAAACCGGATGATGATAGCCTAGTCAACAGTTAGCTCTATAACGTCCGTGTGCCACTCCTTAGTCGATCTAGAGCAGAACGTCAAGTAAACAATCTTTAGATCTAGAATCTAGGCCCTGGTTTAGGCTTCGTATCCGTCTCGTTTTTTCAGGAAGCGAAAAAAAAATGACTCCTTTTATCATATGGAGTTTCTACTTTATTTTTCAATTTGTAACGATTATTGGAATTCAAATTCAAATGAACCAAAACAACCTGCCCGTTTTGTAAGTACTAGCAGACTTTTAAAAAATGTAGATCTTTACGTCTTATAGAAAATAGATACAATCTAGTCTAGAATCTAGAGCCTAATATTATAGGACACAGGCCGTATACCAATACTGCGTATACACAACTATCCGCCCAGGTGAAGATCGTCTTTATTGAGTCTTTAACAAAATAAGCATGGCGCAACACACACAAGAATCAGACGACTAGATCTAGATTTCTAGATCTCGAGTCCATCTTTCTTCTATTAGTAGCATATATATATATATATATATATATATATATATATATATATATATATATATATATATATATATATATATATATATAATTATTTTCTATATGCCTCAGAGCACCCAACTAGGGCATTCTTTTTAAGCACATCATCATAGAACCAAATATTGATGAAATACTTGTACATTTTTCATTTTTGGCAGAAATCTGAAATTATCTGTTAAAAATTTTCTGCACATAAACTAGCTAGTTTTAGATTGCCCAACTTTTACCCCAAAGAAATCTGAAAGCATTACACATTTTCCCCCCACTTATTGTTCTATATAGACCTAGCTGATTTTTCAAATTCGATCAACTTTTTCGCAGATTATATATTTTTCTTTACACCTCTGAGGCAGTTTTGCATACATCTCCATTACCCAAATCAACCTTCTCTCAACCATTAACAATACATGCTAATTGTGATTTAGCTTTTGTTTTTTCATTTTGTTTTTTATCACAAATGGCCAGATATGTTCAGGCTGTCTCGATTCTACCAGTGCTGTTGTTTAAATATATCATATTAGTTTTTTTTTCAGTTACTTCTATTGTTTAAAAGATGTAATAAGATTAATAAAAATTAAACAAGACTATATCTATATATATATCATTTTGTAATTACACATTTTATTTTATAAGGACCCAATAGTTTTTTAACTTTTGCTTTAATTTTTATATTTCTTTGAAATATTCTGCCTGTAAATACCTTGAATTGTTTTGGGGAAATACTTAGTATTTCTATATATGGCATCACGATTTTAAGCTGAATGCCCTTTGTCTCAAAGTCTGAACTACCATCCCACACCTTTATTACAGACATGGAAAAAGGTTACGTTTTTAGGTGTTAGTTACATATCTGTAGAATGCAGTGGCATAGCCAGGATCATCTCAAGGTGGGGGGGGGGGTCCCAATTTTTACCTGGGGACAAACTTTCCATTTGCAACCCCCCCCCCCCTCAAACTTTCGATTTGCATCCCCCCACATACTTTTTATATATATATACCGAGGGGTCTATGGGGGGTTATGACCCCCCCCCCCCTAACCCCCCCTCCCTGCCTACGTCACTGGTAGAATGAATGTGATCCATTTTGGATTTCATCTGACAAAGCAGGATTGCTAATAGACTTGTATGGAATACTGGTTATTTTGTTCAGAGATTTGGAGAAATAAAAATAGTTGACAAATCGACAAAGCACTTAAGCATGGATGTGGAAAAAACTCATGCAAAGAATCATGTTGGTGTGTAAAAGACATGCACACATTAGATAAACATGTAGACCTATACCATTACAATGTTTAATGGTCTTGTATACTGCGACAGCGGAGTTCATGGGCTAGACATGACTGCAAGAACTGGCCTGTCTTTTCAAAAAATATGTCAACATTAACCTGCTTCTCCCTCTTCTTCAGGAGGTTTTTAAAGTGGCTGATGGTCCTGTCATCAAACACTTCAATTTTGTTTCCATGGGACTGCAAAGAAAACTTTTATTGAATGGGCTCAGATTTACTTAGGAGATTTTGGCTTCATTTTTCTACATTTTTCTCTATTTCCATATTTTCTGCATTCTTTTTATTTTTATGGAATGTTCGTATCAGTTCATTTATGATGAGTTTTTTTTCACGGCTACTTTTGTAAAATACACAAGACACTCTGGTTTTAGCCATATATAAATAGATAATCCAGTACTAATACACATATTCTTGAAAACAGAGACAACCAAAAATAGCAAAAATAAATAAGACACTTTTGAAAATAAAATGCATATGCAATATTTTAAGTTTAAACCTAATGCGTAGTGTCAACCATGATTATGATAGTGCTGTTATAAAAAGATATAATGTTCATAGTTCAAAGATTTAAGCAAGTCAAAAATAATTCAAGTTATACAGTCTGGTGGCTGGGCATAGTACTGACCACACTATCTCTTCATATACCGAGGTCACAGAAACAAGTGAACTCTACTTCACTTGCCCTATAAAGGGAACTTTACTTTACTTTTTTATAGTCCTTTTTTTTCTAGGCTAAGTTAATGATGTTATGAACTTTGTCTTTGATTTAAAAGAAATACATTTTAACCTGTTCAATATTTTGTGTATTTATACTTAAAAAAAATAACCCAATGTGAATCATGTTTTAAGGAAACTGTTGTTGCAAAAGCTTTTCAATGTTGTAAAGTTGAGTTAAATAGTTTTACTAATAGGTTTTTTTTTTATCTCCTAAATGTTACTATAGCAGTATCATTTTACATTTTACCTATACTGTAGTCTTTCTCAAAGAACATACACATACATTTCTATGCTGACTGACTGACTGAAACACCACCATGTTATATATAAATTGACATATGTCATTTATTATCCAAATTTTAAAGGTCCTATAACTATGATGCACCCAGGAAAGTTTATTGGTATTGTGAGTTTGGCACAAGGGAAATAATTTCTAATGAGAAAAGGTAGGTCTTTTTTTAAAAAAGCTTTTATTTGTTGAAATGTCAGTTTGTTTTTTCTTAGTTTGTTGGATGTTGCAAATCTTGTAACTTAACCCTTTGAGCCCGGTCCTCCCTGGCCTAATTTCTCCCATTTCCTGAGCTCCCAGGCCCACACCAATTTTCACATATCTGTTTCTAACTTTGCCTATAACTTTTGAACCGTTTGAAATAATCAAACCACATTTGATATCAAGGCTCAGTATCAAACAATTCAGCAAGATTCGGAAATTCTTTGTTTTTTTACAAAAGCCTACAACTTTTGAACCGTTTGAGAAAATCAATTTAAAAATGACTAAATTCAATAATAAAAGAGTAAATAAAATAAATACTGTTGATCACTCTGTCGGCTGGCCATCAGTGGTGAACTGTTTTTACCACATTTGAGAGATTTTTTTGCATGATCGTCAACTTGAGACTAAGAAGATGCAGACAATTGTCTTTTAGAAATTGCAAGTTGCTGATTGGGTTTTTACGCAAATATTTATAGTCGTAGTCCACATTCCAACTTCATTTAGAACAAATTACTAAAAGTGGAAAATAAAACAAATTTAAAAAACCTTTAAAATTATAAGCTTTTAAATACACTGAAAATTAGAAAATGAAAAAACTTGCTTATTTTTAATAAAGCATTGGTTGCTAAAATACATTAGAGATCTGATGAGTTTTTTTTTATAATTTCAATTAATTTAAAAGCTTATTATTATAAAAGTTTTTTTTCATTTAAGTACAAGGCCATAGTCTCTCTGCAAACAAATTTCTTTTCAAAATAACAGAACATTATCTTTAGATGTGACTGATTAAAAAAAGCTAGCCCCAAACCTAAAACTGACAGACATATTATTAGCCCTGAACTCACCCACAACACAAACCTTAAATATAACAGTAATACTAGGCCTTACCCTAACTGCAATTGTATTCATGTTATTGATTGTAAAAATAAGTTTTGTTTCAAAGGTTTTTTTCCCCATCTGTTGTGCTTCACATGTGCAGAGCTTGAAGATAAATGAATGGCAATTGCTTTTTAAAATAAACCGAGAGTGATCTCCCCTAAACTTTCTCAAATATTCTTATATAACACTACGGGGGATGGCAACTTGGGATATAGACAATATTTGTAACCCATTTTTAATTACTCAAACTTTTAAAAATAGAATCTCGTTGAAAAAAGAATTGCACATCAAGTGAACACCAGATAAAATGTGTATAATAGTGCAGAATATTATTAGTACTTTATAAATATTCACATGCGTTTTTTGAGAAATCGGAAATAGCCTAAATTACTACTTTCGGTTTATGCAAGTTACTCAAAATTTGATAGAAGGCAGAGAATTATATCTTTGAATATTTGAAATTTCATTTATCTATCTGAAATAATACTCAAGTTATAGGCTTTTGAAAAATTGAAAGTAGAAAAAGTTCCACTTCCGGTTATCGGAAATTGCTCAAAAATTGATACAAATTTGATTTAATACTTATATATGAAATTTCATCAACCTAACTGTAACGGTACTCAAGTTATCGTGTTTACAGACACACACACATACACACACACACACATACTGGCAAGATTTTAAAACTATGTTTTTCTGACTCAGGGAGGTGTAACGATTACAATATTTTTCTCTATACTTTGTATACAAGAAAGTAAAAATGAGACTATAAAACTGTCGATATGTTTATTATTTTTTTGTTGTTAAAGAGCCTCAAAATTAAAAGTATTACATACATATAAAATCATTTTGTAAAATAATACTTAAGGCCTAATTTTTCACAGCTTATTTTACATTGTGCTTGATTCTATAGAATGCTTGCGCAAAATGCATGAAAGGGTCATTATGTCTATGAATTATACTCTAGTGCGTATATATATATATATATATATATATATATATATATATATATATATATATATATATATATATATATATATATATATATATATATATATATACATTTAGGTACATATAAATAGTAACAAGTCTTAAGCTAGAATTGTTACAAATATTTTGCTAATGTTTTTCAGTCAAAAGGATTTTGAACCAGAATGTGTAAAACTATATAAAGTCTATCGTTACATTTCACAAGATGGCCAAGAGCATTTTCCTTTTCTCAGAGATCATAGTACTTTGGGCATTCGGCTCAGTGAGTATATTTATAATTTCAATTGTTTTAGCTGAGTACTTAGCAATTTCCCTATGTAAATGTTTACTCTGTGACAAGTATCTATATATATAATTCTCTTCTGGGAGCCGTTAGAAAACAAGCTGCAAGCGCCTCCTTGCAGTCCCCTCTCTTTCTCTCTATCACTATCACTACCACCCCCACCCCACCCCCACATTGTCTGGTGAGTTGTGGTCACGCTAAATGTTTACAAAGCTAAATGTTTACAAATCGTAGAGCCGTAGAGCCGGGTTTCTATTAGGGGCAGATAATTTAGTTCGATCTTAAACTTACAGGGGGTAACTAAGAAATAACTAAGAGGAGGCTGCTTTCACAGGGGGGGGGGGGGGTGTAGGGTCGGGGTTAGGGGGGGGGTAGTGTTTTAAAGCAAATATTTTCAGTGGCAGCATTGGTACTGTCGAATTCACAAATTATGAATTACTGAAAAGTAGAAAATAAAACAACTAAATAGCGGCGTATGATACGCTGCGGGTCGGCTCATTTTATTATAAAACTATTTAGGCATAAAAGCCTATAATTATGCCTTGTTTAAAGAAAATTAAGATACCTAATGGAGTTATGTGTTTGACACCAAGTTCTGAGTGGGTTCTTTTACTATTATTTTTTCCTGAACCTCAAAGAAGAAGATGGATTGCTTTGATTTTGAAACTTTAATTCTTTTCTGAGATAACAGAATAATCTTACTACATTTTAAATTCTAACCTATAAGTATTTACATTAATAGGCATTGGGGGAAAATATTTAATTAACAACAGTTCAAAAAATTAAATTCTAATTTTAAAATATTAGTTTGACAATTTTCAGAATGTGCTGCTTTAAACATTTTAAATGGAAAACTGTTAGACTGTGAAAGTGATGAAAAACAGGATCTACACACAACTTGTAAATATACTTGTAATGACGGCTTCACTGCAAGAAGCCCAAATGTTACTTGTGATTTGACAGGGCAGCCTCATAATGTTTCAGCTGCCTGGTCAATTGATCATGATTACTGTATTGGTAATTCTTCATTTAATGGTAAGTTCAATATATTTTCTGACATTATAGTTATTAAAAAATCATTTTTTTTTAAAACTAGATCTAGTTTTGATTTTACATTGAGAATGTAGGCCTACAGAGAACTTTCTTAAGAAACCGGAATAAAGAGTGTAGGACCATGTCACACAAAGAAGTTTTTCTAGGAAAAAATTTGAATGAATATACAGCTCATTAAATGTGTTGAAAACACTTAAGTACTTGAGGGAGGTGTGGGTGGCTGATGGCAGGAAACTGAACTTCCTGTCTACATCTGCTCTCTGTATATCAGCATGACTACAATGAAAATAATTGCTACTTAAGGAAATAAAACAATTTTTCTTTAACAATATGACTTAGGTAGGCTACACTATGATGCAGCATTTTTTCTATGTTGTCACTTGTCAACTCGGTACTGAAATGGACTGAATCACAATAACTAGAGTTTAACAAAATGCTAAAATTCATTACAGATCTAAAATGTACTGGATAACAGTAACATGTTAAAACACTAAAACATCATATATAGCCTACAGTTCTGATATGTACTAAATAACAGTACCAGATGTTGTCCAAAAAAAAATTTCTCAATGAGGGGTGGGGGGTGACACCATTAAGTGCTGCACTGGGTGACACCCGACAGATAAGAACAGAGTTTCTTCCAGGCATCTCTTCGGGGGGGCTAAGCCCCCCCGAAAAATTTTTACCGCCCCCCCCCCGAACGAAATGAAATGTATATAATTTATATAGAAAATATATACTTTTAACAGTGTCCGCCCCCCCGAAGAAAGTTTACCGCCCCCCCGAAAATTTCAAGTGCCCCCCCGGAGAAAAAAGTCTGGAAGAAACACTGGATAAGAACTAAGAACTTAATCAGCTTAACAATTTCTATTTTTATTTTGATATTGCCAAGAGAATTTTAGTTCACTATCAACATAAGAACAAGCATATACTTTGTTGTGAAATATTAAAATGTTAATCTCACTGCAGCTTTAAAAATTTTTTTGAAGTTTTCTAATTTAATCGTATCAGGAAAATCAGAGTAGCTCGTTTATTTTAAATAAACACAAAAGTGAAACAAAAGTGGTCAATTACATGTTGTTTATTAAACCTTTGCTTACATTAATTTATCTCTTGTCTTATCATGTATCTTTTTGTTGTACTGGGTCAATTTTTCATTGATAAATACTTGTAGTACAATATGCATGATTTTTTTGTAAAAACAATTACTCAGTGTAGATTTTTTCAAAAGTTATTTCTATTACATTTTGACAAAAAAATTATTATCAGAAGTTATTTTCACTAACGAAAATGTAAATAAAAAATATACAGCTCACTTTTTCTTAAAATATATTCTTTTTAAAGATGGCACAGTACCAAACTCTTTTACTTTTAGCTCAGCTGAGTGTCTCGGTTTCCAGATGTTTTAATTAGAAAATTGGGAATGTTTTATTCTTTCATTTGTAAAAATAGATTGTAAGTCCATATATGTTAAGAACTAACTACAATCTATATTTCAGTAAAAATGTTAGGTGCTTTTTAAAAAAAATTATTTTACACCTACTGTCCCACAAGTTTTTAATATATTGTAGTTATCTATTTACTAATTTAAAATGCCACATTTTTTTTTATTATGGCTACAGATCCAGTAAGTACTGCTAACACAATGCAGGAAAATATTACAACCTTAGGTAAAAATTGTTTTCTTACCACTTAGTTTAAAATATTTATTTTGTAACTTACAAAAGAGAAATGTTGTATGGCTATAGAATACAAGCTCTTGACTGCTTACCCAAACAGTTCAGCACCAGTCTTAAGTTGTAAAAAGCAAAGCCATGTGGGCATAGTGCTGACCACACATTCCATGGATTGGTGATGGGTACTTTACTTTAAAAAAAAACAACACAATATAAGTTAACTTTAGTAGCCCATTCTTACATTTTTTTTATGAAATGGACTTTTTGACAATCTTGCTATTGGGTGTTTTTCAAGCTGTATACTGGAATCGTGTATCTTGCAAATCTTTGTTTTAAATTATTTTTATTTTACATATTGTAGTAAAAATTAAATATTAGTTTTGAAATAACTATTGTAATTTTTATTACGATTAAAACAGTTGTATATCAAATAATATTGGTTTATACAACATATCTAGGTGTATTAATGCTTTATTAAAAAAAATTTTTTAGTTTCACCATTACAGCCTAATAATGAAGATGTTCAGAAGATATTTTTGATTTCGGTAATTGTAGGTAAGGTAGCGCTTTTTATTTCAAACTAAAAACTTTAACCATGGTTATTCTTTTACTTCAACCGTGCGTAACTAGCACTTATTTCAAGTGATACATGTACTTTTACTATTTCAGGTTCTCTTTTGATTTTTGCTGTAGTAGTTGTGGTTCTGTTTGTTTTGAAACACAGAAAAAAAGGTTCACATGATGGTAAATAACTTTTTTTATAGGCCGATTCTAGTCGGAATAAGATACGCATGCGATACGCATGCGCAATGGAGAGAAACTACGACTTAGCGGCGATGTTTTCGATGGTACTGCGCATGCGTGTGTTTACAACCGCAGAACCCTAATACCAACCCTAATCCTATCCTTAACCCTATCCCTAATCCTATCCCTAACCCTAACCCTAACCCTATCCCTATCCCTAATCCTATCCCTAACCCTAATCCTATCCCTAACCCTATCCCTAATCCTACCCCTAACCCTCATTCTAGCCCTAACCCTAGCCATAGGTCACTGCGCATGCGCAGAACTATCTTTTGCCGAAAAATCTTATTCCGAGTAGACACTTCGTTTTTTATATACATGTATTTGTTTTCTTTTCATTACTTGCTTCTTATGATATTATGCTTTGACATCCATAACAATGTAATCTATAATTTACATAACAGATTCAAGAAAACCAGTAAATGAAAATGAAGGTAAGAAGTTTCCTATCAGAGTTAAGTGTTGTTAAAAATTTATAAGTTACTGTAAAAAAACTAAATTGATAATGCAGACTATGCATTAATTAATCATTTTAACCATGTTTTTTTATAATAATATTAAAGGTACAAATTTGGTAACACCAGTAACAAAATAAAATGATATAGTTAATTTGTATTTATTTTGCTTTACTTAATATTTCAGAGGGTTTTCCAGAACTTAATTCCCCACTTTATTCTATGTATTTTTTGTCGAAAGAGAGTGATAAAAAGCTTAAAAACAAAAAAAACTCTAATAAAGATCACAGCCATAAAGGTTTGTATGATTTTTGTTCCCTGGCTTGTTGTACTTTTGACTAAAATTTTGTGGTTTTAGACTGAAACACTAGATCAAGATGAAATTGTAAATATTGACAGCAGTTAGGCGTATCTGTTTTGGACACAACTTTTCAAACAAATTTCAACAAATATATAATAAACACAGTCTCAACCTACATGTGATTGTTCTCTGTACCTACAGCCCTGCATATTACTTAACTTCAATTCATGTCCCCCCTGCCCTGAGATAATTGTGTATGTTTATGCTCAAAGTTCTTGTAGGTTTAAAAAAATATGTTGCAGTTTTGTTTGGAACAATTGATTATGACTTAGAGATTTATTTGAGCAAAATTGAATAAAAGTATTACAACATTTTTTAACTGAACGGGTTTAAAATATTATTGGATCAGAAGAAAAAAATTGTATCATGGTCAATATCTAGAGTCTCAATGCTTAAGATGATCAGCTGATCAGGACAAGTCATCAGGTTAATAATATTTACACCTCTAGATTAAAGTTAAAGCAATCCTGTTCAGTTTATTAGTGTCCAACTAATTGCCACTCTTTTAAAAATAATGAAACATTTTTTTTTAATTACTGCCTCATATATATTACGTCAACATTATTTGATCTCAGCCAGAGAGACTGGGCAACAAGATTATCTGTAGGTAGATATGGTTTATAAAAATTTCTGTTTTACTCTGGTAATAGCTGTTTAACATGACTCTTTCCTTAGAACCTTTGGATGATCAAGATCTGGTGAATCTTGTCACTGCCAGTACTGATACCAGTAAGAACTAATGTTTGCTAATCTTGTCTATTTATTTTAAAACTCAAGAGGAAATGCAAAGCCTTTTGACAAGCGAAGTGTTTTTAGATAGATTTTTAAGATTACTTCAAAAGTTGTCTGTGTAATGTGGAAAAGGTTAATGAAAAGTCTGCCTTAAATCTTGTTTGCTAATTAGTGTTATGTTATTGATGCACCTAATAAATTATAGGCATAATGGGCATGGGCTTTTCTATTAGTCATTTATTTGCCACTTTTAAATCATATGACCAAGAATCTCTAAAATTTTAAATACATTTAAATTTTTAAATACATTTTTGTATGTTTCATTACATCATTCTTATGCTTTTACCTCCATTAAATGTAATTTATAATTATCATAACAGGTATAAGTACATCAATAGAAATTGAAGGTAAGAAGTTTCCCCATCAAAGAATAATATGTTTCAGTGAAAAAACTAAATCATTAATGAAGCCTGTGCATTAATTATTAATTAATCTTTTCAACGTGTTATTTCAATTATAAATTTTGCAACACCATTAAAATTATAGTAGTTAATTTGTATTTACATTCCAGAGGGTTTTGCAGAACTAAATTTATCTTCTATGCCTTTGTTGAAAGAGAGTGATAAAAAGCTCAGAAATGAAAACTCTAATAAAGATCGCAGCCATAAAGGTTTGTATGATTTTTGTTCCCTGGCTTGTTGTACTTTTGACTAAAATTTTGTGGTTTTAGACTGAAACACTAGATCAAGATGAAATTGTAAACATTGACAGCAGTTAGGCGTATCTGTTTTGGACACAACTTTTCAAACAAATTTCAACAAATATATAATCAACACCATCTCAACCTACATATGATTGTTCTCTGTACCTACAGCCCTGCATATTACTTTACTTTAGTTCTCTCCTGCCAAGAAATTATTACCCTATGTTTATGTAAGCAGATCTTGAAGGTTTATAAAAGTTTGTAGTAGTTTTGTTGGATTAAAAGATAATGATATGTAGAGATTTATTTGAGCAAAGTTGAATACAAATGTAGAAAATGTATTACCTGAATGAGCTATTAAATATTATTGGACCACAAATAACATATTATGGTCAGCATCTAGTTAGGTTATATCTGTTTTCATGTTATAAATATTTACACCTAGATTTAAAGCAACCCTATTCAGTTTATTAGTGTCCAACTTAAGGACCCAACAGAGAATAGTCTCAAAATTATTCACAATATTATTATTTATTATAATAAATGTGGTTATAAAAATCTGTTTGATTTTTGTTGGACTTATCTGTTGGATTGGATGTAGTATTTTTTAGTATTTACTATTTTCGGTAACTAAACAAAATTTATTTATAAAGCCAAAAAACAATCTGATTGTTTATATTTATCACAGAAATTGAAAAAAAAAATGAATAAATTTAATTTAAAAATTGAATTGTAAAAGTTTTGAGTACAAATTACTATGTTTTTTTTATGAAGTGGGGTTCTCAAAATATCGATCACATAGATCTAGTTCATGTATGGCCTATCTATGTTTGTCTTCAGAAAGTGAAAACACAGGTTATAACTAAGGCTTACAGCCATAGATGGTCAAATACTTTATTTTGTGTTGTGAATTTTACCCCCTGCTTGATGGAAGTTAAAGTGACTGGGCTTTTGGGAAATGAAAAATTATATGCCTCGAGATATAAGCAGTATCCATAATCACAAAAAAGGTCAAGAATACAAATTTCTGCAGTGTTTTGTATTTTTACTATTTTAGTCATAAAAATCACTTTGTCCTAATTTTTCAAATGTAATATACATTTACATTTTAAAAATTTACATTTTTTACTAAATCAAGAGTGATAGAGATTTTGAACTTAATTTTTGGATGAATATGACTTATAAAATTCTATCTACTTAGGTAATAAAACTATGTTTAACATGATTCTTTTCTTAGAACAATTGGATAAAACTTTGGAAAACCTTTTAGTTTTAGCTACCAGAGATGATGCAAGTAAGAACTTACATTTGCTACTTAATGTATTAAAATTGACAAGTTGAAATAATTAAAATTGACACTAAGCTAACCTCATTGTCCCTAAAGGGTCCACAAAACTCAACTTCCCTATGACACCCCACCCCCCGCCTCCACCCTTTCCATCATGGATGTCAAAAATGGATGTCTCACTGGTCAGGAGTTTGGGTCTAAGAAGAGGGATTCCCCTGGGGTGATGAGGCTTTATAATGGTGGGGTGAGCGTAGTGGGATATTGGTTTATATTGTGCAGTGCAGCGAACAATACATACCTTATTTCAATGGAAAACTTAGTCTTCTAGTGTGTTTTAAAACTCAGGAAGAAATTCAACACCATTTGACCATATTTTAGATAACTTATTAAGTTTCTTTAAATTGGTTTGTTGCTTTGAGTAAGCTCAATATAGAACAAAATCTCTTGAAAATTCTGCTTTAAATTTTTATTTGCTAATTGAATAGGCATGATGGGCTTGGGCTTTTCTATATGACATTAATTTGCCATTTTTTAATCAAGTATCATATTTGTTTTTTAATATATATTTTTTAAAACAAATACTCGCTTTTTATAGATTGACATTTAGTGTTTAATTTTTGTATTTTTAACAGCTTCTCTGGCGAGTGAGTTTAATATAGATGATTGTTCAGTAAATTCACATGAGGAAGGTGAGTCTACTCAACTTGTCTTACAGGTCTTTTGATATTCATGTCAGAGCCAAACTTTCAACCTGGACACTGTCATCTGTAGCAATGCTACAGCAATGCACCAAATGGTCTTAATTATACTTTTAACCTTTCTTCTGTTAATGAATTGATAAAGAAACTCAATTTCTGAACAAATTGGGAATTTTGTTTTAATTTTATCCTTCTCTTATTCTCGTCATTCATTTTTCTGTTATTTACTATAATTTAAAATGTTGGCTAAATCAAATTCACAAATAGCTCTGATAACAGGATAAGAAAATTAGCTAAAAAATAATAAAGCAACTTGATCAGTAATAAGTCTACTGGATTGTGTGGAAAGATCTACAGAACAGATTTGTTTTTAACTACTAAAATAAACTTAAGTTCAACACATTATTCTATTGGCAGAAAGGTAGAATATAATGCATAACTATTTAACAATAAACTTATAACAATACATTTTTAAAAATTAATTTTACTAAAAACTAGCCCTACCCGCGTTTACAATTTTTTTTAAAAAAAATTACAAATCATTTTGTTCAGGTCCTACTGAGCTGTGTACGACGTCTGTGGCGCTGTTCAATCAACAGACACTAACATATCGCAGAGAACTCAGAGGTGAGTTGGAGGTAATTGAAGGCAGGCATCGTTGTGAAGCTCTTGTGGGATATATCACTGAGAACTTGAAAAGACTTGGCTATTCTTCAGAGAATGAAATAAAAGTTGAAGAGTAAGTTTTCATTTTTTAGTTCAGAAATGATAGTGCTGAACAGTTTATCTTGTTAGAATATAGACACAAGGAAAATACAGTGAATCAATTATATTAAACATATATTTGACCACAATTGAGGCTAAATTTATTGTTCAAGTTTTAAGTTAAATCTGTAGCAGTTGAAAATATCAAATTAAACATTGTAGCATAAGTCAACTGCTTTTACTTTTTACTTGTGGCACCACAGTAAACTTTTTCATAATGCTTTGCCATTTTTCTAAGTTCTCTGTTGCTTTTAGTACTTCTTTACTTAATGTCCTCCATCCAGTTTTGTCTTTTCCTTTCTTGCCTTCACTCCCTTGGATCTGTCATGTCCACACCAGTTGTTTTTTGTGTGCTTTGCAATGCTTAGCAAGTTCTCAAAAGAACCGAGCGTATTGGTGATTCATTTGTTGTAGGATCACCATATGAAATCCCTAAAAGTCTCATTTCTAAGGCTTGGATACATCTCCATGTCTTGCATCCTCATAAGAAGACAGACATGACAGCATAAGTTTGACTTTTGTGCCAAGAGAAGTCTTTCTGTCATACCAAATGACCCTGATGGAATTAGTAGACTTATGGGGCAGACTGAAGAGCAACATCATATGGTATGGAAATTAGTGCTGCTTTAACAAATTACATATAACTATATGCATTTTTTTGTATCATCACAGGATTACCTACAAAGACAGGACAGATGAAAAAGTGACAGACTTCTTTCTATTACGCATGGCTTCCTATGGAGATACTATAGGCATGATGTTGGAATATTTTCACAGGATGGAAGCACAAAATGTTGTTGATGTTGTGTTAAAGGTGCACAATGACTGTACATACTGCAAACAATTCAAACCTGATACTTATAAATGGTAGCTTTTAAAAATTTTAGAAATTGCAATTTGGCCATAACTATTAATTTCAAGCTTTGATTTGTGAAGTCGACTTTGTATCTTCTTCAGATATGTTGTAGTTAATATTTTAGCCAAAATAAAAGTAACTAACTATATTTCATCTGTAGAAATACATAGCATATCTGGGTTATCCTATAGAGGGTGGGGCCTGCTAAGAAGTTAACATGGGGCTTTTTTACACTGTTTGTGTTCTCTGCTGACATTACTCATGTGGATGCAACAGTTTCCACTTTAAGGTCCTCTACACTATTGATTTAGTGTTTCATGTGAAAATAAGTGTAATAAAGTAAGTCAGTAGATCAACTTACTGTTTTGGGTTGTAGAATAAACAAACTTATAAACAAAAACGGTTTCACTCTTACCTCACAAAAATCTTATAAAGAAATCCATTTTTCACTTTTTATTTAAGCTTTTTTTATACATGGTGCTAAGGTTTTAAATTTGCTTAACATATTATGGTCTATCCACAATTAAATCTTTTTAAACAAGAGTATATTTTAATGTGTGAAATTTTTTATTGTCTAACTAATGATGGATATTTTAACAGCCATTTCTTTATTTTTTTAATTAATTATTTTTTTAAAAACTGTTTAGTAATCTATCTTGAGTATAATAATGTACCATAATTGTGTCGAAATCCATTTCATTTTCCAAAAAGAATATGGTTAAGCTAAAAATTTATTTTAAATTATTGTGTGTGATATTGTTATATAAAGAAGTACTTAATTATCATTATTTGTTATTAGCATTTAATACTTTATACATTTTGTATTGGCAAGAAGGACATTTTTTCTTATTTTGTTTTTCTTAAAACAATTTAAACATTCCATTTTAACCTTGTAAGTCTATATCTGCAGCTAAATATCAATGCTTCAAAATAACAGCTTTTTGAGTATCCATCTACTTGTTCTTTATTATTTACCTTTAATCTTTATCAATATAGGTTTTTCTTAACATTTATTGACTTACCAGTTGTAAAGCAGTTGTAAACTTGAAATACTCAGGACATACTGATGATTCAAAGTTCATAAACCTCAAAACCCCTCTAAAAATGTAACAAAATGTAAACACTAAATAATGTTAAAGACAAGCACAAACATTTGTACTATTTTGAAAACTGCACTAATTATCTCAATTAAAAACAAAGATAATATGTCTTCAAAAATATGTCCACTGAAGTTGTTTTTTTAAATACTTTTCTCACAATCTTAGATCTGTTGTCTCATTATCACTATGAAATAAACTTACCTTATAATTTAAGGCCATATATAGTATCCTCACATCATACCTTAAATGATCTAATTTTACATTTAAAGATCTCATCTCCCACCCCTGCTCCTCCCATCACAACGTTAAAAAATTTAAATAATCATAACAAATTTTTACAACTTATCAATCTCAATGACTGTATAATAGAGGGAAATGATATCTGTATACTTGTAACAAATGCTTAGCCATTTGATTGTTTTCTAGTGTTGAAGAGAAAAAAATCATTTATAAATGTAATATTTAAATATTCATGCTGGTTCATGAATTTATAATATACTAAACATCAGCAAAGTTGTACATAATTGTTTCATGTTTCAAAAACATGCTGGTGTATTGGTTTTTTTAATGATGTGTATAACTATTTAATTAACATGTATTAAAAACTTTACTGCAAAGAAATTGTTGCTTATACTATACTTGTAAATCTTGAAATTAAACATCTGATCTGTAGGCAATTTCAAAATCAGTTAATTAGTATTCAAATTTTTTTTAAATACATTTTTTGTTATGCTGTTTTTAAAATTAATTTGGGGTTTTACAAAAAATACTGAGCAAGTTATTTTAAATGTCTGTCACTTTGTATGCCTACCGTTTCACATTAGCCATTGAACATTTATTTTTTTATTTTCAAAAATCTCTATTTTAGTATTAACACCAAACATTTTTTAAGTTTTAAGGCTTATTAACTTGTTTAATGTGCTAGCAGAAATTTTCATGTAATTGAGCTTGTACATGCTTTTTCTAGAACTTTTTTTTTTTTTCAAATGTATATTCATGAATTGTCCTGCATAAAAATTTCTAAATATAGTAAATAGTTGAGTTCTGTTGTCTTTTAGCATCCTTTTAGTTCAGTTTCAGGGCTTGAGACCTGAGGAAGTCAGCCAATTTTGATTGATACTGAATAAGCTAGTGGAAGTATGTATTATTTTTGTAAATGTATGGTGCTGATCACACAACCATTACATATGTTGGAAGATAAAAATAGATCAGTTTCTTTTTGTCTTGGTAACACCAAGAGGTTTTAACCTTTTGTATTTAACCTATTTTAATAAATTAACTCTATATATTACTGCATATATTGCAATTCAACACTGAAGCCCTTTTACAAAGGATAAACAGGTTATATGCTGTCACTAGATTGCCTGAATATGCAATACAAAAAATATCTTTGGAAAATGGTCTTAAGAGAAATATGTTAACTTTTTAAAAGCAAAACCAGACTTTCTATGACAATATGGTCTGCTTATTGAAAAGCACCAAAAAGAAGCTTATGATTAGGAAGTTCACAACTCAAAATGAGACGAGCTGCTGGATATATTTCAAGTTACCATTGGAAATGTGGACTGACTAGCCTAGTAAGTAAAAGATATTACATTCATTATGTAACAACTTGAAAATCCTATTCATCAAACACGAAAGACCCATTGGTTCCAAGATAAATATGAACAAAATGTTTTCATAGCAACCTATATAGCTAAAATGATGAAAAGCTGTGTGTAGGCCTGAGAACTCTTTTTAATATTTTATTGCAGAGCTTGACAAAGACCTAAAGGTTAAGTATACATAAAATTTAAAAAACAATGCACCAAACAGATAAGTAAACACAAAATCTCATTGGTAAATTAAACCTAATACTTTTAATGACAAAGTGACAATATAAAATGAACTCAATAACTTAGAGAACTGTGGATTTAAAAAGCACCTCTGGTTATTAAACATTCAACTATTCCAATGTTAACAAAGTATGACATCAGGAATGAAATGCATAGAATTTAAAATAAGCTTTAAAATACTAAAAAAAAAAAACAACCACATTAACAACTAACATTTTTTGTCTTGATTTTGGGCAAACTCAAGGACAAAATAGAATAGAAACATTTAAAATTGAGTGTGATTGGTAAGATAAACAAAAGCAACCTCAGGATTAAGTTGTTTTTTTTAAAGATTGACTAGCACTAATACAGAATGTGTTTTTAAGTAACTTTATTGCACGGTTGCTGTTGTTTAATATGGCATTTATTATGAAACAAGTATATGAGATGCATTTTTCAAATACCAAAATTTGATTTTAAATTGTAAATAAAGATGATTATTTTTTTTATTCATTCTGCATTAGAAAACCTCATTCAATACCAATGATACAAATACAATATGTTTAACAAAATATAAACATACTTTCCCCATGCATTTCCAACTTAAAATTAGGTATGAGAATAAAAGGAATGAATTTATTTTAGATATTTTTCTAAACAGGTATTAAGGAATTTGAATTACTTTTTAAAAATGAATAAACAAAAAACTTTAGAAGCAAATAGGAACACGTGACTTGTGCATTAACTGATAAAGTGGTCCAGTTGATGCATAAAAGTCTGCAGTTCTATTAGAAATGCCTAGTGAGGTAACAAGGAATGCATTTTTTTTAACAAAATAAATTTTAAGACAAAACTTTTTTTTTAACTATTTAGAATTTTGATAGCCACTGACGTGTGACCTGTTTTAGTGCTAAATGATTTTATATTAAACATTAAACTAAAAACATACAATGAAAATAGTACATACACACTTAAAAAAATAGAAAATCTGTTTTCTGTTAAATTATGTCTGATAAATTAAGCAGACCAAAATATCTCCATGCAGGAATTTACTTTATAAACCGTATTTTAAAAGGTTATATATATATATATATATATATATATATATATATATTCCATTGGCATGCATAAAAAACAACTTTTAAGCAGAAAATAATTGATACATAGAGCAAGTCAGTAATTTTTTATTATATGGAAATTACATCTAAGATTACTAATGGCAAGTGTCAATTTGTGATTTAAAACAAAAAAAAATTTTTGTAAAATAAAACAAACCATTAGAGGGACACTATTTGAATTATTTTGTGCAGCAATTACACAAAAAAGTCCAATTTCAAGAGAAAAATAAAAACTGGAAAGTAAAAATATATTTCATTTCAACAACTAATTTGAACAAGTTAAAAGTAAACTAAATCTGTGGAGCATTATATAATTAAAAATATTTGTGAGACCAAAATAACCTTTCTACCCAGTGATACAAGCATGGAGGAGATAATTATTACATTACATTGTTTATAGGTACAAGACAGAACTAAACAGACTAATGAAGATGTAAAAAATAAACATACCTAAGGGAATATTTGATAGCAATATACATAGATCTATATATGCATCTTGACAATAAGTGTTTATGGATTTATGAAATTAAATATAAATGGGTCCAAATAGGGGTATGCAAACAGAAGAAATATTTAAGATAACTAGGCTTTACAGAGTCTTAAAAAAATAAAAAACATGTATAGATGGAGCAAAGCATTTATTATCACAGCATTGCTGATGAGGCCCACACAAGACACTTAAGAAGTGTGAGTGTCCATGGCAAGGCAGCAAAAATCATTCCACATTCAAGCCTTCACATTTATAACACCTGCACCTAATTTTCTATAGATCTTTTTATGTTTCAAATTTATTTTCAAGTCTCATTCAGTTATAAAGTTCTTTTTGTAACCATAAAATATTAAATGATTACAGCATTTGAAGCTAACTAAAAACATGTATATTAGGCAAAAAAATGTATGCTGATCAACTAAGTAACTTGCATTCCCACAATTAGAGCAAACATGTATACAAGTGGTGAACTATATGAATCTATACTACTTTGTTTTACGACAGCAAGAATATTTTGTTCAGGTAGGAGGGCTTATAAATGAAATAAATCCACAAAAAATGAGGAAAAAGATAGGTTTAGATTTTTTTTTTTTTGTAAAATATGAATCTGAATAAAATACAATTCTAATGTTTACACACAACATCTAGTCTCATTTCATATTGGAACATTTACTAAATATCAATCAATCACAAAATTTGAATCATTTAAACCCATTTCAAAAGCTTATATTTCAGTTTCAAACCACTTCTAAAATATAAGTAAAGATTTTAATCACAACTAAAGGCAGTCACTTTAAAAATGAAATTCCAATTGGATGACAAAATTAATTAAAAGTTGCCATTCTTATCTTTACAATTTTAATACCTTTTACAAAAGCAATGTTATATTTTTCATTTTGAGATCCCTTACTCATGAAATAATTATTCACTAATAATCATATTTCTCAAACTTAACTCAAATGTGTTACTTCAGGCATGAAACAAAGAATATTTCTAGTTAATCAATGAGCCAAGTGTATTGCAATGCACTTATTTTTTTCGGTTCCACTGACAAACAAATAAATACTCCTCTCATCAAACAATATTTTCACTTATCTTTTGAATAAAAGTACAATTCAACATTGTAAATTTAAAATCTCACATTACCAACCAATCAAACCTATCACTAACTTGTAAATCAACACAGTGCTCCTGAGCATAATAATAATAATACATATTGTCCTTTTATTTGACATTTTGCCTTTTTTATAAGATTTGTTTCATCAAAATACATAGGTTTAACATAAGCAGGTTTACGTGATCAATAATGCATGTTGAATGGTGTTAAAATGTTATGAATGATGTGCATTTCACATTAAATGACAACTTGGATATGATGCAAAGAAATATCTTGTTTTTTGACAGATGCAGAATACAAATGTCACTAGTGACTTATGGCAATTATTCTTTTCTAGTCTTCCTTTTTCTTGGGCTGTTTGTTTTCCTGAAAAAAAAAAAATGTTATTTCAAATCTGCCACACAAAGCATGCTTAAAACAAGTGTTCAGCACTATTTATTAACATGAGTCAAGTAGCCATCAGAACTGGGTGGGCTCAGGGACATCCTACACAGTTGAACTCGAGACTTTCGTTTTAATAATTGTAAGGATTTGTCACGTGGAAATTTTCAACAAAAAATAAATTCAGAATCATATTCTTTTATAAACTTATAGTTTGAGAAAAGTTTTTTTTTAAAAAGTGTGTAAACTCATAAACCACACAACAAGCCCAATTATCACTTGACTAATGAGTTGCCGAACAGTAAGCAAAAGCCAAATACAATACAATTGATTTAGAAATCTGTTTTATATTTATTATTATTATATTTCTATTGCATGCAAGTTTTTAAACTTTTCTTTTAATTCTTGAATTATAAATCCTACAATATTTAATTAAGCATATCCAGTTGTAAAAAAATACATTTCTACTATTTTAAAAGACAAATTAAGTTTACTTAGGTGAGCCCTTGCTTTCACTTTCATCATCTCCTTCATCTGCCTATTAAAGAAAAAAAAATGGGCGATGTAATTTAAATTGTTCAATACATGAAATCAGAATACTTGTATATCAGGAGCTATTTGTTACAAAACAAGAATAAATACCTCTTCATTTTGTGAATTGCCATCTCCTCCTGCTCCAGCTTCAGAAATTTCATCTGGGGCTTCAGCTGTGACTCCCTCAGCTTCTTCTGTCTTTTCTGCCTCTTCATCCTTAACTTCATCAACCTCATCATCAGGGGAAGGATCATCAAACTTCTTTCTGTGAGCATCAATATCTTCAGGCTGTTGTTGGAAAAGAAATGTAATCAAGTATATTCTCTGCATTTAAAAAGAATATTTTTAAAATTTTAAACTTACTTTATTTCATGAATTTTATATTAAATTTTTAAAAATTAAAAATAGGCCACTTTAAAAAAAAGAAAAGAATGTAATTGATGAAAAGCTATGTTTAAACTTTAATGATTATCCTTTATAAAGATTTGTTTATTTATAAAATTTTAATTATACACAACTTTGAAAAGTAAAAAATAGTGAAGGCGTGTAACATGCTAAAAAAAACATTTTAAAACTGCAATACAACACAAACAAATAATTATAGACAGCCCACTTAGTTTTAATCAGTAAATCAAGAACAATATACATATATGTATATTACACTTTCATTAGTAAGATTAAAAAATTATTTTCACACAATATCAGATTTTGAGCAACATTTTGAATACTTGTTGCAATCTCTTTCCCCAAGAGGCTAAATATTCAAACTCAATCAATTATTATTATTTAAATTGTTTAGCATTAATAATTGTTAATCCTTTAACTAAAAAAGAATGTAGGTAAAATGTAACTTTGTTATGCTTAATTATAATTAAAATAATTATGTTTTGCATTTCAATGAATTTATAATTGCTTAAAAATTAGACTATCAGAAGTAAGCAATTTTGGGAACATAACACAAGCACTATACTAACAAGCACTAAAATTTTAAACAACAAACAAGGAAGCACCTTCAAGGGACCTGATTTTGGACAGAGCCAGATTGATAAAAGTACTATTGGCAGAAGAAGAACCACTATATAAACAGCCCACAGCCATGGTCGTTCATCAGTGGAGCTCTTTATTGCCTGCCACCAACTCTGTCAGCACACCATAATAAACAGAAAATGTATAAATAAAGTTAAAGAAAAATCAAGTTGCAAATAAAAAAGGTACATCCAACCATAAAAAAAAAATTATTTTCAACAAAGCATTTATACAATATGCACATATTTAAATTCAGCTTCAAATTAATTATGAGTATTAAATCTCAAAATATTTAATAAAAGAATTAACAACTAATTTAATATAGTTAGAATATATTTTTAAATGAACATCAAATGCCAACATTTTAAAACTATAAATGCTTTGTATTCAAATATAAATAGGATAGAACACAAGTGAAAAGCAAAATTTACATCAACATAAGCATGCTCCTACAAGGATTAGTGCACAATATTTAGGATTCTGAACTACATCAAAACAGGCCCAAAGATGTCAATTTTAATAATTGCACCATTCAGTTACCTTAACTGAGCCAGTGCAGAGATAGGTAATTATTAAAACTATGGGCAATACAACAACTAGGATGACTACTGCCCATAGCCATGGACGCTCATTAGTTGCATCTTTAATAGCCTGCATTATACTTTGCTGAAGAGAACATGTGGGGTATATAACAAATAAGTTATTTTGCATAAAATGATTTAATAAAAAAAGCATGAGTGTAAATCATCAATTGCCTTCTGTGGAAAAAAGTGTGTTTACTTACATATGGTTATAACCAAGTTAATTTTTTTCCCCCATTTTATTAATTAATTATGGAAAAAAATGAATTAAAAGAAACACATTGTTAGAAATCGTGAAATATTTATTGTAAGCACTGAGGTAAATAGAGCTGTGTTCAGTTGCATCTTAGACAACTTCACAACTATAGGTACTGAACTTTTTTGACAACCTACTGAACAGTTAATCTGTGAGATACTGATGTTCAAACACTAGGATAAGAAATAGGATAGTGCATAGAAATTTTTTAAAACTGGCTAATCAAGACATTTCCACATTAGGTTTATCTTTCTGGAAAGATATTAATGCTCTTTATCACTTATTGAGCACTACCATAAGAAGTGGCAGCGGGTTAATATTCAGGTAGAGCTGTGTAAAATCATTGTGGACAAGTAGACAATGGAGGCGGCAGAGTTTGACGAGTTGGGTGTGATAATTATTTCTGACATGGATTAAAAAATGTGTTCAGTTATATTTTGTCAAAGTCAAAGCAGACAAGAAAAAAACAATTATAAAAAAAAATTAAATCCTGAAAATAATTCAGAAATTTTAAATTTTTAGAATCAATGTTATAAATGTTGCAAATGCAATCAACTTGTAAATAATTTTTGAGTTTATGGCTACTTTTCTATTTATTTTTATCAAGCGTAAGTTATAATCTTAAGTTTCACTTTCGTAAAACAAACACTGATTGTCTGTACAGGAAACACATCCCTGATTTTTTAGATTATTCACTGCCACCTCCATTAATAAAATAAAATTCCACATATTATTATTATAACACCTACAGCCGCAAAAAAGGACACAAAATGTGGTATGTTGAATCTATTTGTTACGAGTTCTGTCACAAGAAATAAAATGGTTCAAGTTATTTTCACACAGAGGCTGTGATAAAGCAAGTTTAAGTTATAGAGGTCAAGTAGAAGTTAGCCGAAACAGAGCATAGCGTAGTCAGGTAGACCAGGAGATGACGGGTCACGTGAGACAGTCAGATGACCACTGAAGCAGTTACGGTCAGCAGTTAGAGATTGCCAGCGCTAGGGAAAGATGTAGAAGTTAAAATGTAGATAGTAGGGACAATCATGGGAGTGTGTAGGGAGAAGTCAAGTGTTAGTTGAGGTTAGATAGTCATGTTTTAGGGTGTAGTAGGGTAGGAGTCGATTTGATGTGTAAATAAAGAACTGTATTATATTGAATTAGACCTTTTGTGTTGATTCCACACTGTACCAGGCGTACACATAAGAAGAGACGATCCCCGTAGGAAGAATATATACCATATGTTCATGACAGAGCATTACAGTTATATAAAGAATAAAACTTTCTACAATCCCTGCATTACATTTGGTGGTAGAACTGCCATTATCACATTTGGTAGAGCAGCGGTTTCTTCAACTTGCACCCTCGTTGAAGTCTTTGAAGTCATAGTGAAGTCTTTTCAAAGTGAAGTCGTTTAAGTCTTTGAAGTCAGTGTTAAGTCAGTCTAAGTGGGTCAGTGAAGTCTATCAAGTTTAAGTGAAGTTAATAGTCAATGTCAAATCAACAGTCAATGTCAAATCAGCAGTCAATGTCAAATCAGTCATCAAAGTGAAGTCAGTCATCAAAGTGAAGTCAGTCATCAAAGTGAAGTCAGTAAAGTTAATGAAGTTAAATATGAAGTCAGTCATTAAGTCCAGCCAGCCAGTTTAAGTCAACTCAGAAGTCACATAGTGACAGCTGCATCCTCACAAAGGCCTACTGGCTATATCAAGTAGAAGAAACCAATTGGACCTCTTCAAGTGATAAAACGTGATGGGATTCTATTACTCAATTGTTGAGCAAAAGGGGTCAGTGCAACTTTATGATATATAGCGAGTTAGCTACTTAATTGTGATGGAGGCGTGGTCTAGTCTGCAAAAGTTCATGGTTGATACATTTTTTTTAAAAGTTTCGAGTTCAAACCCTGTGGCAGATAAGGCTCGATCCCTTCCAACACTAAAAATTAAGAACGAAGAAGAAGCTACTTAATCATCAGTTACTCACCCCAGTGGATGCTGCTGCTCGCTCTTGAACGCTCTTTACTTCCCAAGTAAGAGCAGTTAATTCATTAATTACTGTCTCATTATCAGCAATAATGAAGTTGTCAAACAAGATATCGTCTGTCATAGACCACAGCTCTAGGCCAATAGCACCCTAAGAACAGAAATTTAGTTTCAGCGGAGTTAAATGACATTTAAGACAGTTTTTAAAAGCTCATCTCCTTGTAAAATTATTTCAAAACTTAATTTGCTAAAAAGCCGTTTGGACACATTTTTAAATACAATAAATGATAAATTTCACAGCCAAATAGATAATATATATGCAGCAGCTGAGTCTAACTAAACGGTATTCTATTAGCACGTTCTACTTTTTACTTACAATTGGGGTCATCTTGTAAGGATTTTTATCTTCAAAATAATTTGGATTAGGGATTACTTTTGGCTTCCATTCTCCTTTATAGTTGGGGTTTTCAATCATTGGAGCTTTCCAAGTGCCCTTGTATTTTGGGTTCGGAATGCTAGGCTTTTCCCACTTGCCACAGCCAGCAGCATCCTTACACTTGGGATTGTCTTAAATGAAATATTTTTATACATTTTAAAACCATAACCAAATCTTGCAGGAAAAGTGCAAAGAAGCAGAAAGTGGAATTTTTTTACAAGCGGGTGGGTGGGTGGGTTGCGGTGAGGAGGTAAATTTCTCAAAAAATTTATGATATTTCATTTGTTGAAGCAAAAAAGTGAAGTAAAATAACTAAAGAGGAGCTTTTTTGTTAATAGGAAAATACAGACAACACTGTAAATTTTCTGAAATGGGAAAAACAGATTTCCTGGAGAAAAGCGAAAAGTTACATCTTTAAAAGAAGATGCTGTGTATTTCAACCAAAATTTAAAGCTCTTATTCTATGACTAATCCATTTATACTTTTTTGTACATTCAACTTACCAATGCGTGGTGCTTCCCATTCCCCATCCATTTCATCATCCCTATATTTTGAACAAAAATAAAGATGGTTCAATATTAAATAAATAATTAAAAAATTGAGTTTTTCTTTCGTACTAATAAAACATTCTATCTTATTTTTGTGTTATACTAACTAAAGTACAATATGAACTAGATTAAACAAATGAAAATAGTTTTTTTTATACAAAAAAGAAATATTTCTCAAATTGTAACAACTCTAAAAATAGCTAATACCAATCAGCTGGCTTGGTAGCTGAAGGGTCTGGAATATATACTTCCTCATCTTCTAACCAACCACTGGGTATTACTGCATCTTCATCAATAATAGTTGCTGGTTCAGATTCATCCCTGGAATATTTTTTTTTTAATTTAATCCAATTATTTCTTCAATACATTCAAATCACCTAGAGCAATATAGCAATGAAGAGTAAAGAAACTCTTACCAGTCTTCTGGTTTCTTGGCTTCAGGGTCTGGGATTCTGAGGGTATAAAACATTTTTTTTTCTTCAAATAATTATGAAAGGATGTTATCTTTACCACTTTGTAATTTACCAGCCCCTGAGTAGGTGGAATATTCAGAATATTTTTTTAATGAAAAAAAAAATGGAGAAGAGGATGAGGCTGAAGAAATTGACAGCATACTTTATTGCAATTTGTAAATATAAAATTAGAATTACATTTATTTGATGGGGTGGAGGAACGTTGTGACATCTTTTTAGGGGTAAGATTCTGGCCTTGTGTAACAATAGAGGAGAAAGGGAGTAAAAACTAGCTAAAGTAGCTTAAAATATAAAGGCTTGCGAACTCAATTATGAAGTACTAATTCCACGCCTTTCACAAAATAGTAAGTTGTAATCATAATTAAAAGAACCAAACCTTTCTCTATCATCCCAGTCTGCTGGCTTTTGGTCATCAGGGTCTTCAATTTCTTTGGGTGGATTTACAGGAGGGCTTTGAATAAAATATGAGTAATGTGAATATATTAATCTTACAAATGGATGAAAATATGTAGCTTAAAAAATAAAATGGTTAATCTATGTACCTGAAATTGGTTAGTAAATCTCCAGAAGCGACTACTCCATTATCTACTTTCACCTCATAAGTGTTGTCAGGATTTACAGCTACAAAAATGTTTGTAAAAAAAATTGCCTTAATTTTGATTCAACAAAGTAAATATTATTTAGAAAATGCAATGTGCAAATTAGTGAATATGAATAAACTAACTATCCTAGTAGTAACAAATTAAATAAAATATTTAAAAAGTTGACTTTCTTTTTATGACAAGTGACAGTATTACATTTATAAAATATAAATCTAAACTACAGGTAATTATAGAAAACCAAAGTGTAATTAACTTACTTAATGTATACAGATGTGTCTTTCTATCCGTAAAAAAATTATCCAATTTGGCAGTTGGTTTTTCAGCATGCTTCTCCTAAAAAAAACACACTATAACAATTTATCATTGCATTTAACAAGAGAATTATATAATAAAGTAAAAACACTAGTCCTAAAGCATACCTCAAAAACACCAGTTTTAAGATTCTTGTGCCGGAAGATGAAATGGAGCTGTAATAAAATTTAAAACATTTATTAAAAAAAAAACAGCATATCAATTTTAATCGTAAATCTGTTAAATGGGTCTCATTTATCCTGTTAAATATGTTATTTATTTTAGTTGAAATAAGCAAACTATTATTACCTTATGATCATTACCACATTTGTCTGGGCCAAACATTATGGTGTATGGTGTCTTGTCTGTAAATGATTTCTAAATAAAGGACATTAAGAAATAGGAGATAAATCTTAAAACTGAATAAAGATTGTATTTTGAGAAATAAAATGAGCTATAAGGTGAAAATTTAAGCTCTTAAATGCACATGTGGAGTCCTAATTATTCAACACATATTTATATGGAGTTAAATACCAAATTAAGGTTTTCTCCCTTTGATAGAAGTTTAATATATGCACCACCACAATCAATACCATTCTGAAACTTCACTTCATACCTGTAAAAAAATGAAGCATTACCAAAGTATCTATTATAAATAATATTTTAAAATAGCACATACAACTTTAAGCTAAAAAGCTACAAGACAAATTTTTACATTGACAATTCGAAATAATGACAAATAAAACAAAAATCTCTGATGAACAGGACAGTAAGGGGTCATCCATTCATGACATCCACGTCCCAAAAAAAAAAATTGCTGCATATAAAATATATGAATTAACTCGGCAGTTCTCGTATTAAAAAACACCAGCTCAATGGTAGAATCAGAGATGTAACTGTATACCGCCAGACTAAATAAAAAAAGAGACAAATTTTTAAAATCGCAAGGGGGTATTGGTAGCGGCATTTTCTAAAACAATTCACTGTATTTCAAGATTATCTTTAAACATTTCAAAGAATTGAAACCAAAGTTTAAAAACAATTAGATCTAGATCTAGGCCCTGATAAATCGTGCAACCAATTCATAGTAGGCCTAGATCGTTATTTTGTGTCAAAGCCTAAGACTATGTATATCTAGTTATTTTTTCTCCAAGTAATAAATTCAAAATAACATTTTTAAATTAGAAATTTAAAAAAAAGGGGCATGTAGAATGTGCTCGCGTGGTCAGGTGTGTAGAGCTAACCAGAAAAGAGGGAGAGGTGATTTGTTATGGAAACACATGCAGAGTGAAGTGTCTGTAACGTTCAGTAAAAATAATATGATGTCATGTTGATTAGCGAAGTTTACCCCAAACCATATAATCATTAATAGCTAGACAAAAATGACATCAAAAAGTTTAGCCTACAGCCCCAGTAACCCAACCCACCCTCTTAAATAAAACATATTTTATGACTGCCTCCAACCGCAGACTACAGTTAGGAAAAATAGTGTGTAAAATCGAGAGGTGCACATTGTCTATGCGTGTTAACTCTTTCCAATAAAGAACAATGTTAGAGTCTTAGCACATGCACAGAGGGAAGTTTGGGAATAGGGCATTACCCCAGTTCGTCAGCATTCTTGAACTTGGGGAGGGGGTAATTGCTCAGGCGGGTAATGTCGGGGGGTGGGGGTGAATGTCAGGGGGTAATGTCCTAAAGCCAGGAAATTTACACACTGTAGACTAACAAACATCCCAGAAAAGTATAATTTCTAAAATTAAATTCCTAGCTTTCTCCAGATTGTACAGATACAAATTATTGCAATTGAATTAGTAATTTGGTAGCATGGTTTGAGAGATTTACTTAATTTGTGTGGTCATCCACATGGGGGAGGGGGTTCATGTGGACGGGTCTAAAATTCAAAAGTTTTGTGGACGTCATAAATGGATGACCCCTAAAGGAATATGCTTAAATCAACATTATAAAAATGTTTTGTTATGAACTTACTGAACAATCAATGGTTTTCCATTAAATTCAAATGGTTTATCCAGCTTTGCAGCAATGGCATGATGCTTGGCTTTAGACTGAAATATTGAATAAGTCAAATAGGACTAATGGTGAAATGTGAAACTTTGACTATGTAATTTGATCATCATCTTTTCCTGTATGTGCCTAAGACACTGGGCAGATGAAGTAGTTTCAATGACATCATCATACAAGAGGACAGTGTGTCAGAACTATGCAAAGCTCCCTTGTTTCCCTGGCGCGAGTCATGATCCATCAAAACTGGGTGACTCTGTGATGTCCTACAGACTCTAGCCTGGGATCCAAACTCAAGAATTTTGGGTTCTGTCTTGAGATCTACAACTAATCCACACCCTCCCTATGTCATTTATTTCATACAGGGGCGCCACTCATTTTTTTAAGCGAATCCTGAAAATCAATCTCCAAATTTTAACAACCCTGAAACCATATTTAAAAAATTTTAAAACCCTGAAACATTCCATTACTTTTTTTTTTTATTTGGTTCATAAGTCTAAATAATTTTGTATTAATTTGGAATGGTCAAAAGTGTTACCTTAAGAATCAGTCCTAAATCATTGATAATAGGGCTCTCCTTTGGTTCATCAATAACCCATTTTCCTGCAAAACATATTAACCTCTAAACTTTAAACTGAAATAAATTAATCTTTACATAAATAAACTGCCTACAAATTTCATCACTAAGATATCAAACACCTTAAAAAAAAAAACATCTATACTTGCAAGGATACCATGTTAACACAACAAATGTGTAATAAATTATCTAATTCCACGGTAACAGGTTATTATATATCACTAGAAATCTGTCTAAAACGTAAATAAATGACTTGGCAGAAGATAGAATTCAGAATAATTATAAATCAATAACAATTTAACATACTTCATTTTCAGAATACATGTTACGTAATCTAACCTGCTGTTGATGTATTTATAAAATGCATTTCCAATTTAAAGTATTTGAACACACTCACCATCATATTTAGCAAGATGTTCCTCAGCTCCATCTTTTTTAGCTTGTGATTGAACCCATCTGCCATTTTTTAAATTTTAAGCATAGTTTATATTTCTTATGAATGGTATATTAGATATTGCAAGGGTATGAGAGTATGTGTTGTGGAATGATTTATATTAATAAAAGATTGTGACTGTGTTATGAGGCACATAAGGATGTGACATTTGAGAGTAGGATCTTGTTGCTAGGGAAAATAATTTAGGACAGTCTTCGTCATGTTGTACAAAGGTGTGAAGGTATTCATCTGTTGTTGTGAATAATGATCTAGTAGTTTTCATTTAAGTTGTGAAAGTTGTCATCTGTGTCTTTCAAGCTAGTGCAATAAACCATGGATTGAAACTATCCAGTCCTGTTGAGTCTTCTATTAACAATTACATCCACAACTTACTTAATAACAATATTGTCTTAGTTAACCTGGTCTTTACATTATACATTCATTCAAAGTGATTAAAAGAATATGAACATTTTTGATGATTTTGCATTAATGATAAATTTTCTGATAAGAATTTATTGAAAATGCACAAGATGGGAGTTTTTACCATAATTAAAAGTAACAACAAGATAACTTAAATCAACAGTGACGTTACATTTTCAGAGTTTATTCACCTTTTTAAAAACTCTGCTCTTGTATCAAATGGTTCATAAAAATATGTTTGACCACTGGGTACTGGTCTTTCATATACAGGCTGTAATTAAAAATTGATTTATTAGCAAGAAAAACAGTTTTAGTTTTAAAAACATTAAGTCATCCATATTTAACTTAACTAGGTCAATTACATTTACATGTTGCATAAAATAAATGACAAGCTTAAATTAAATTCACTACCCGTTCTTTATGGAAGATTTGTGGTTCCTCTTTATCCTCTGTTTCTACAATACCATCATCCTTATCTTCTTCCTCATCTTCAAAATCAGTTGCTGATACTAAAACAGCACTTAATATTAGCAAACTAATGCTAACAATGCACAAACAATACCAAGCCTTCATTTCTGAAAAACAAAACAAAAATGTGATTTAGTAAGTCGACAATAAATATGTTGCCAGGAAGGTTGAGACTGCACTTCCCTAGAACCAACACATAAGCCAATCAGTTTCAATTGTCATAACAAAATTAGAATATAGAATACGAGCCGAACCACGGCGTATCATACGCCGCTATTTAGTTGTTTTATTTTCTACTTTTCAGTAATTCATAATTTGTGAATTTGACAGTACCAGTGCTGTCACTGAAAATAATTGCTTTAAACCACACTATCAGTAAGTCGTTAAGGACGATAACACCCCTCCTTTCCCCCAACCCCCCCCCCCCCCTGTGAAAGCAGCCTCCTCTTAGCTACCTCCCCTAAGTTTAAAATCATTTCAAACTAAATTATCTGCCCCTAATAGCCGTCACTAAACCCGGCTCTATGATTGTAAACATTTAGCATGAACCACAGCTTCCTAGAGAGGAAGAGAAGGGGGGAATGCAAGGCGCGCTTACAGCTTGTTTTCTAACGTCTCTAAGAAGAAAATTTTATATATAGATCAACAATGTATGTAGGCTAGGATATTCTATCAAAGATGGAATTCAAAGCAATAGCCAGTACTATGTCCAACCACTTTATTTTATTTTGAAATTATGCTTTATTTACTTCATGGAAACACCATTTGCATTATCTTTTAATTACAGGCCTTTACATTCAAAAAGTACATCTGTAAGTCTTGATCTAGATCTACTCTAATTCTAGAGTTTGAGTAATCTACAATATAATTATAAAAGAGTGGTTCTAAACCTGGGTTCATTCCAAACCCATGGGGTTCAGTTAGGCAGTCTCAGGGGTTTGGCAGAGGTCAAGACACACACCAGACATGGATGTTTGAGGATACAGATGTCCGATAATACTCTTCAGAAAATAGGTGTTAGGTTGTTAGTAGTAGTAGTTGTAGTATTGTATAATCACGTCTAGTTTTATGATTAGAAATTAAGGTTAGGTGTATGGTAGGGCTGAGGTTGTGGTTAGGGTTTGCACTGCCATTAGCAAGTGTATTTATTTAGTTAACTACCAGTAACCTAACAACCCTTTTTAAGAAGATTCTTTTTTTGTGCCATAATTGGACACTGGAATTAGAAATCCACCTCATGATAGGATTTTATAGAAAATAACTATTAAGGGTTCTGTGAATATGCATGGTGGGGTTTGGTACCTCCAGAAGGGTTAAGAATAGATCTACCAAATCTAAAGATCAACTTAAAATTAAGAATAGATCCTAGTTATTCTACTAGCTAGACTAAACCCCTGTCTCTCTAAAGCAGACAAAACTTATCACTCAAGAGTCTAAAGTAGATCTACTAGCTAAATTCCATAGTAGAATAATAGTAGAATAACTAGACTAGAGATTCTAGATATAGTTACTAGTATAATAATCCAGATTTCTAGACAGATTCTAGATTTGTTCTAGAGACTATTTTCTAAATTGAAATCTAAATTAGGTTGATGAATCTAGATAGAATTAATCTAGTCTACATTTGATCAGTCATCAGTCTAACTCTAATATTACAATAAAAGTAATAATGATAATCCTGACAAATGGGCTCCGGTCATATTGACTCTCAACATATAGGCTCGGGACAAATCGGCTCCTGTCATACTGGCTCCAGACAAATGAATCATATGAGCACTATTGGCATAAAAGTAACCATTCTGTCCTACCTCCACTGCTACTTTGACCGCCTTTAAGTGCCTGAATGAATACTAAAATCCTAACGTTTTTGGGTGTTTTGGTTGTGTTTATAATAAAATACGCTTAACCGGAGGTGAACGTGAAGCGGCGAATAAAATAAATCTTGGAAATATTGTAAATTTGAGAAACTCTGCAGTGTGGTAAATGAATCTTATTGTGAGATAATTAAAATTTTGAATGAAGCGATTTCTGGGCATCTTGAATCATTGAAAACGAACTGCAGCGCTATTTCTCTAAGCTGAAAAATGATGAGCATTGACGCATTACCCATTCTCTTCTTTCCTTGATGTTGCCAGCATTCCCGATGAATTACAATATGAATTCTTTGATTTGCAGAATGATTCCGCGTAAGATGAAAAACTGCACACAGAATTTTGGTGCAGTATTCACCATTCATACCCAAATGTAAAATTGATTGACTTTTCGAGAATAGATTTTCAACACTATTCTTCGATTAAAAACAAAATTAAGAAATAAATTGAATGTTGATAATGACAAAGGTTGGCGTTAACAAAAACTTAACCGCTAATGTTTAGTAAATAGCAATCAAGTTTACTCATGGTATTAAAACAGTTATCATGAGTAGTTCATATTGAAAGTCTACTTAAAATCTTATTTTAGTGCTTATTAATTTTCATACTAATTTCGGCTTTTTAATTCTATGGGGGTCGCGGGTCACTTTTTATAAAAGGGGGTCGCCACTCGAAAAAGTTTGGGAATCACTGTATTATAGCCTTGACAATGAGGTAACTTTTTCGCACATTACTAGCCTCAGACGATTTTACGCACCTAAAAGGATAGATTACCGTAGATTCTTACCTACTAGATCTAGAGTAGATTTCCACACGCGATCACACATAGCAAAACATTCTGAACTCCCGATTTTCATCGGGCACTATTTTGTAACCGTTTCACACAGAAACAAACCGAAAGTACTGTATTACTCTGCTGCCCTTTCTACTCTAATATATGTAAGTCATTTTGTATTCCTACGCATAGAATTTGAGATATTCATGTTTTAGTGGCTTCACTACTTGCGATATTTCCCCCGCCCCCCCCCTTTTTTTAGCTCTCACGCGATCGCCTGCACCTGCCTGCGTAACGATCTTATTTTATACGTCTTAATCCAATTTTAATAGCTAAAATAAATAATTTACACCTTTACACGTTTTGTTGATTGTATTATTAATTAATAGACTGCAAAACCAAATTTAAAAAATTTATTAACTACACATCACGGATGACCCAGTGATAACTCAAGGGACGCAACTTTAATAATCATAACAAAGGGACGTAACAATTACTAACAAGACAAAACCTAACATTTGCCTAGACATGCTTGTATGTGGAGACAGAAACTAGTTCTAGAAGAAGTAGATGATCGAAATAATTTAAAACAACAGAAAAATGTATAAACTATACAGATTCTAGACTTAGCTTGAAATATAGAGCATCTAGATCTAGGTTAGTCTAGCTCAAGTCATTGGTTATGCGGCGAGGATAAACCACCCTAATCGTTATCCAAGCTGCGGCCACCCCCATGTGACCTCTCAGGTTGCTTTAATAGCCTTAGCTATAGTATACCTTACAGTGTCCCGCACATAAGTAGAAGCTATTTAACTATTTATAGTTAAACTAATTATAAAGAGCTCTGATTGGTTGGTTTTATTTGTTTCATCCCGGGCCTAGTGTTTTCATCTGGGGAAACTGGGATCACCAGCTGACGTCATACATCACCTTGAAAATTTAAAAACTTGTCTTCCAGAAGGAGAAAACAAAAGAATTTGACCTAGATATATTTAGAAATGGACATGCTTACAGGAGATATCGGTAGTTTCGTATAAAACATCCAATTATATATTATACGAAGCAATAAACAGACCATGATCGCTTCGTGGCTTGACCGCGCAGAGGAAATCTATCTAGAATCTATAATTAATCTAGACTAGATCTAGATCACGGGTTCCCAACCTGGGGGTCGCGACCCCCTTGGGGGTCGCGAAGGGCTTTCTGGGGGGTCGCCAACTGGTATACTAAACCTTAGTAATTTGAAACAAAGCATAAATATGTAGATGAATTTTTGAAATTCGGCTTTATTAACATCACTGGAAAGGGAATAGAGAAGAAGCAAAGCGTACGGCACAAAGTTGTTCTCAGTCACGAGTTTATGAAATCTTCAAAACTAAAACGTCATTTGAGATGAGTAATTCGAAACACACCAAAAAAGATATGGAGTTCTTTCGTCGGTATGAAGCTAGTTGCAAACGTGAGAGACTTGATCGAACAGGAAGTTTTCACCTAGGAAACACAGCATTAGTGCAAGCATTACATGAAGTCGCGACAGAAAATGCCAAGCAAAAAAAAAAAAACATAATAGGAGAAAATCTCATCAAACGCTGCATGTTGAAGATAAATAGGTTGTTTTTTTTTTAAATTGGATGATTAAAATGGGTTAAAACAGCTGTGAGTGTTTGTAGGGATGGTGCACCATCTATGTTTAGGTCAAAATCAGGCTTTCAGAAAACAGAAAAGATTTAGCTCCCTAACCACTGCCCTAACCAATGGACATCAAGAGTCCATTGCTAGTATAAGTCGTAAATTATATAAAATCTGGAGCCTTCAAAGAACTGAGCAAAAACATTAATATAGATCACGAGGTTCTGCTCTTCTACACTACAGTACGCTGGCTGTCAAACGAATTGTTGTGAATCGTGTTTTTGAATTGAAATCTGAAATCAAACTGTTCTTGGAAGTGCAAAGGAAACAAGACTTTTTGGTATGCTTAAAACGACATAGAGTGGTTGGAGAGAGTATCATATCTAGCAGATGTGTTCGAACATCAACATAAGCATAACCTGAAGCTTCAGGGAAAATGAACGAATATTATCACTTTCCATGAATATCTCGGGGCATTTTTATCAAAGCTGAAATATAGGCGAAGAAAATAAATCTTGGAAATATTGTAAATTTGAGAAACTCTGCAGTGTGGTACATGAATCTAATTGTGAGATAATTAAAATTTTGAAAGAAGAAATTTCTGGGCATCTTGAATAAAGTGAAAACGAACTGCAACGCTATTTCTCTGAGCTGAAATGCATTTACGCATTACCCATTCTCTACTTCCCTTGATGTTGCCAGCATTCACGATGAATTGCAAGATGAATGCTTTGATTTGTAGAATGATTCCGCGTAAGATAAAAAACTGCACACTCAATTTTTTGTGTAGTATTCACCATTCATACCCAAACGTAAAATTGATTGACTTTTC